TTCATTTCTTCGGTTCTGACCCAGCTGGGATCTTTAATTGCCGAGAGTTTGTACAAGCATAGCAAGCAATGTGTCAGTTGAAAGAAGCTTGATGTTGAGAAACCTACGTATTCCCTCGGGGCATATGTGAAAAAGATGTCGAAATACTTTCTGATAGAGATGAGACAAATGTGAAGTGCCTCTAGTCGATCGAAATCTAGGCTGGGACCGATTGGGATTTCCTCAAACAATGTGAATTCGTAGATTTTAAGTTGGGCATCATGAAAATAATTGAGCAAGACTCCTACAAGCTACAGTTAGCGTGGTGATGGTTCAGTTACATCCATCTTGACTAAACCTACTGCTGTTTTGCAATTCTGAAGGCACCAGGCATTTGACGTCGTCCAAGTCTGCCTGTAGCGCTTTGACGTAGAAGGGAGCTGGTGGCTTTGGTACCACGTCTCGACCTATTTCTCGCTCATGCAGGGGGGATTGCCGTATTCGCTCCACCATCAATTGCAGCTTGACAAGCGCGGCCAAAATCAAGTCGCTCTCACATTCCTTGATATCGGCAAGTTGGTCGACACATTCGCTCATGTGTGGCGTCCACCGAAGAGTATCGATTCGGTCTAGGTTGCAGGAGACGCTAGGATCATCAGCAAAATGGATCATCAAGCGACAAAATTACTCACACGGAGCTTAGAAAATATAGACCGAGCACCCCTCTTCTCTCCTCCATTGTCCTGCCCCCAGATACCCAAGGTTTGTGGAATCTGTAGTTGGCTCTTTCATCCGGGCCTGACGGCGGCTTCAGGTTGAGCCCAAGATCAAAGACAATGGAAATAGCTAGCTGTGTGAACAGGGTTAGGAATGGACGTCTGTGTACCTGCAGGTTGCCCCTGTACGCTGTTAGTGCTGTTATATCACTTGATTCACTTCTTGGTTGGCGCAATACTGACCAAGCAATGCAGATGAGTAAACCTAAGAGCTCTTCTATGCTTCTCTCTAGGTCTGAAACCATTGACTGCCCTAAAATACGTCGTATGTGGCTATACAATTTACTTTGCTGAAGGGTAGACCGTGTCGAAACTGCATGTATGCAAAGCCAGAGAAACGGCCTTGTGGCCCGCATGTCGGCTGTGGAGGTTTGCGGTGGAATATACATGAATGGCATGTGTACCAATCTGAGGGCCATGAACTCGTCAAGCAATTCCTGCTCATCCTCCACTGGTGAGTCATCCAGTGTTTGAAGAGAAGCGGCAGTGCTTGTGGTTGATGCTTGGGTTGATTCATTACTTGGTCGAAAGGGAATTGGCATTGGAACATTGGCACGCCGAGTCTTAAGGACTGGCATTCCCGGTACGACAGGTGCATTCCCGGAAACCACTGAAGTCCCTGCATTGGCTGGATTGACAGGACTGCCGGCAGTTGAAGTGAGAAGAGATACCAAGCTATCAATCTTGGCCTCTAGCTGTTCATTCCTAGACTTGGATAATCTCGTCGCATCGCGGTTTCGCTTGGTTCCCGATTGCACACAATCTTTTCCAAGGCGTCGACATCTTCCAGCTTGTCAGTTCACCCAAGTGAGCTTCAGGGGTTGTTAGTGGGTGGAGCTAACCTCTGGCATGCATCTCCGGGGTTCAGGATTATGCATCGGCATTTCGACCGGGCACAATTCGTACATGCCGTTCCATAGGCCGCGTGCTGGGCTGGGTGTTCCATAGTGCATAGGTATCGGAGTTGAGGGACGGAAATATTAACGAGCTCTTAAGAAGATTGGTCATGGGCTCATGGGTGTTGAGGGATGAATTGGACGGCGATCGGAGACGGAGATGTCAACTCCGGATCGGCAAAGTGAAGCTAGACTTTAAATGGAGAAGTGAGTCGGAGACGGCCTTGGTAAATGCCGATTGCCGAGGCTATGATCTTTCAGTGGACTGGACAGCGAATCAACGAGCCGAGCGGCCGCTACGGAAGGCTAGTAGTCAATGCTCTTCTCAATTGCAGTAGACTTGATTTTTGTGCCCCGATCTCCAAGCAGTTTTAGATGATCCCGACCTTACTCCCCATAGTCATAATGACTGCCCTTCTTTAAGTGTTCTCAAGGACCTTTTTCGCAATACAGTTTCCACTCTCGGGCAGCGCTCATTTACTTGTTTCATCAATGCTCTTGATAAGTGTAATGAACAACAAGTTATAGATATAGTTTAATACTTTGAGGAGCTGGTAGAGCAATCTATGAAGAGCACCCTGCTCCGAATCTGTTTCTCTAGTTGATATTATCCCTATATCGTGCTATAACAGGGGATCCGGCTGATACTGGAAGATTAGCTAGGCTATATTAAAGACTTAGAAAACTATATTAGAAGTTACCTCTAAATTAATAACTCTATACTTATTAAGAAGGTGTAACTTTAGCTTTTTAAAAAGGCTGCTAGTATTTTTCTATAAATTATTCTTATAATTAAAATTCTAAATAAAAAAAATTAATAGAGTAAATTAGCTTTAAAAAAGAGATTAGTAGAAATTCCCAGCTGCTTAAGTAAACTATTTAAAAATATTCTAAGGTATAATAATAAAAATATAAAATACCTGCTATTTTATATTATTTGAATTTTTTACTTAAAGTACCTTTTATATTTAAAAGAATTTTACTATATTTTTTAATTTAATTTATTACTTAAGAATTTAATTAATTTAAAAAATTAAAAAATTATAATTTTAAATATTAGTAGCTATATTAAGAGATATATTATTAGCTTTTTAAAAAAGCTAGCTAAAATTATAAAATCTAAGTAGCAGCTAATTATATAATTTATTTATAAATTTATTTAAGACTTTTTTATTAAAAATAAAAGCTTTTATAAGTTTTAATTTAATTTTAAATTTAACTAGAAGATTTTAAGTTATAAAAAGCTTAAGTAATACTATAGTATATATATAAATAATTACTTAATATATATTAATAAATAATATATTATAGTTAGTAAGTAATTAATTAGCTATTTTTTTTAATATTATATAATTATAAAAGAAACTCTTATAAATTTAAATTAAAAATAAATTAAAAATAAATTAAATAATAATTTATTTTTTTAAATTAAATAACTTATATAACTTAGAAATAATATTATATTAAAATTGTATACTTTTTTAGTAGTATTCTAACTTTTTATTATAAATATAGTAAATTAATATAGTATATTAAATATTTAATAATAAATTATTTTAAAAAGCTTAAAAATTAAAAAGAATATTAATATAATAAGCAGTTAAAAATACTTAAATTAGCTAGTTACTAATAGAAATATTTTTAATATAATTTAAATAAAATTAAAAAAGAAAGTTAGTATTATTATAAAAGAAATTATAATTTTTTATTTATTAGAAATTCTTTTTAAAAGTTAAAAAAGCTAGAAAAACTTAAGATTATTAAAAAGATTATTAATTAATTATTTTTATTTTTAAAAGATTTATTTAAATCTTCTTATTATTATTATATTTTTTATCTAACTTTTATTTTTAACTTCTTTTAAATATTAAGTTATTATAAACTCTATTAATATCTTATTAATAAACTTTTTTATAACTAATTTAATATTTTATTATTATAGCCTAATTGTAATTTATATTAAGCTTTAAATATAATTTTACTTTTCTTAGCTTTTTAAAATAAAATATAATTTAGCTATTAATAATTACTTTATAATTACCTTTAACTACTAATAATTATAATTATAATAATTACTTTATAATTACCTCTAATTATTTATAATTATAATTACTATAAAAGTAATTATATTTAATTATATTAATATATAAATAATTAAATAATATATATTTACTATAAATAGCTACTTAACTATTAATATAACTTAATTACTTTAATTATTTTAACTTATTATATATTACTATACTTAATTATTATTAAATATAATATTTTTTCTATAAGTAATATTCTAATTACTTTATTAATATAAATTTACAATTTATACTTTAATATCTAATTTTTTACTTATTTTAAATTATATTTATAATAAATTAAAAAATATAATAATTATAATAAATCTATTAAAAATATATAATTTATAATAAAAATAATATAATTAAAATATTAAATAATTAATATAATAAGTAATTAAAAATACTTAAGCTAGCTAGTTACTAATAGAAATATCTTTAAAATAATTTAAAAAAAATTAAAAAAAATTTTAATATTACTATTAAAAAAAAATTCTTTTTTTATTAAAAATTCTTTTTAAAAATTAAAAAAACTAAAAAAACTTAAAATTACTAGAAAATCTATTAATTAATTACCTTTATTTTTAAGAGATTTATTTAAGCCTTCTTACTATTACTATATTCCCTATCAAACCTCTATCTTCAACCTCCCTTAAATATCAAACTGCTATAAATCCTATTAATACCTTACTAGCGAACTTTCCTATAACCGACCCGATATTCTATCTTATAAGATACTTCTCTATTAGGAGACATAAGCCTCAGATTAATCCGACCTTATATGCGTAATCTGATGCAGCTTCAGGCTGACCGGCTAAGACGCCTGTGCGACGACTCCCTGTATATTTTCCCTAGGGTAAGTTAATAAGTTGGGTGTTATTTCTATCTCTTCCTGCTGCTAAACTAGTAAATAGTAGTATTTTAGAATATAAAAGTAGTAGAAAAAGAGGCTATTTTATAATAAGAAAAATATTAGTAAAGTTTAAGAGAATAAGTACTAAAAAAAGATATTACTCTTATAGACTTTTAAAATTTAGTTAGATTATAAATTTAATAGTATACTATTTCTATAATATAAAAAGTATTATTTAAATTAATAGTAAGACTTATAAAATAAGTATATATAAGTTAAGTAAAAAAATAGAAATACTTATCTCCCTTTTTAGCTATAGTAGTAGCAATAGTATTATTAAAGATATTAGCAGAGATAAGAATATTAATATAAATTAATAACTAATTAAGATTCTATGTATTACTATTAAGGCTAGTAGAAGGGCTTTATATAAGAAATTAGTAAATAAGTACCGGAGAAAAGACAGGAGTATAAGAAGAAAAGAAGAGTCTGATACTCACAGAGCATAAGTATTGCCATACTTAATATACTACTAGTAGCAGGCTGACAAAGTATCACCAAAACCACAGTCAATTGCTATAGTCTTAACGGGGAGACAGATCTCAGCTTCCCAGGGTAATAAGCACCTTCGCGCCAGTTTCCTGCGGTACGTATAAGTATCTCCTGAGCCCAATGCGGACGGCACCTGGCTCACGCGGTCCGATGCCCCACCCTGCGATCAACAATCTTCCGCCGTGCATCATCCCCTGCTTGTGGAAGGCATTTCGCCCGCCTGTCCCCGCTCGCGCTCGCGTTTTTCCCGCTGACACCGAGGTGTAACGATCTGCACTTCGCTTTACACCTAATAGCCCGTCTGGCCAAAAGGTAAGTCTATAATCACAATGCTTGCAATTACAGGTACAGATAACAGCTACTATATAGGGCTCAGTCCGCTGTGACACTGCACGAGCCGTAACACGAGGCCGAGGCCGAGACTAGGGCTGGCATTCAGGACGAGATATCTTTCCAAAAATCGTTCGTGCCATATCATCCTCAATGATGCGAGACGTCCTGAGGTCGAGCGCGAAAGCAGCAAAATGCTCGTCTAGCTAGCTAGAGGTGATGAGGCAATAGCATTGCGCATGAGCCGGGGTTTCTACCTTGCACAGCGACTGCAGACGGGCACCAGCCGGTCACATCCACGCTTCTGGGCGGAGCACGAGGAACTGCCCAACAGGTCTCTCTGGTGCGGTTGAAACTCGTTCAAAATTTCGTCAGCTGCGCTTTCCATGGTGCCAGTAACCTTGAAGCTAGTCCGACGCTACTCCGCCGCCAAGTCCCATCACTTGGTCGGGTTAGCGTCGGGCTAACTTAGTGCCATGCAGAGGCTATCCGGACTCGAGCTCCAGTAACAATCTACAAGTTTCGATACACATCAAGAATGGGCTGGGCCTCGGACTTAACTCGACGCCTTCGATCGGATTCTCCCCGTCGTGTCCAGCGTCGGCCAACGTCCCGGTGATTCCTGTTGTGGGCCCCGTAGCCGCTTAAAGTCTCAATTGGAGGACTCCATCGTGTTACGATCTGAACTGTTTATATCTATTATTTAGATTATATGATGTTCACTTCATACATTATTATACAGTATTTTTACTATGAACATATTAGAACAACATAGGGGATAAAAATGTAGCTTTGGTGTACGAGGGCAGGTTAAAATGAGGGTCCTTGGTGAGTGGGCCTCTCTAAGACCCGGACCTTGATGCTGCTCAACGTTCACGTTCCGGGCCCTTGAGTTCTGTTGCGCTTGGGGGAGTACCAGGCATTTGTGAACAGGAACCGGCGGCTCGGAAGGAATGCTCGGAAAGTCTTCTAGGAGAAAAGACGTCATAATCTGCTCTTCCGCTGCAGCCGGACAGGAATGGAGAATGGCCTATAAACGCCAGGTGAGTCGGAGCGTTTTGGAAAGGGGACTGCAACTCGTCCACCAGACACCAAAATACGACCTTCCCTTCCACACTCGATCCATCTGACAGCAAACATGATCTCCTGTAGTTTGCCCCTTGCCTGTCTTGCGGTTCTCATGCCAATAGGCCTGGTCCACGCTTCTTCGGTTTTATTCACCGGCGGCACAATCATTGCCTTTGACGACGCTACCAACGACCTTGATGTTATACGGAACGGCACCCTGCTAATCAACAATGACCGCATTGCCGGTATTTGGCCGGCGGATGAGAGACATACGGTTCCGGTCCCCTCAGACGTCGAAGTCATCGACGCAGCAGGCAAGATCCTCTCGCCAGGCTTCGTCGACACACACAGACATGGTTGGCAGACTCTGTATAAGACGCTAACATCCAACACCACAATTTCGGAGTACTTTGCCCGTTATGGCGAATATACTGCCGCTGGCCGCCTGGACGCGGAACAGGTGTATATGTCGCATTGACTGCTACGCCAAAAGTGGAATGAACACTCCGCTAATGCGTAGTGCAACTGAGGCCTATATACTGGATATGACAGTATATCAGTCAACTCGCAGGCTTATACGAGGGGCTGAACGCAGGTACGACTACATCACTGGACCACGCACATCACACTTGGTCGGACAAGACCTCATACGCAGGCCTCAACGCTAGTTTCGACAGCGGTGCGCGGGTGTTCTGGGCTCACGCCTTCCACGAAGTCATCAACTACACTATCTCGCAGCAGCTTGCTAACTTTCGGAATATCGCAAATGACGTCTCCTTTGAGAACACCACGGTCAGCCTTGGTGTCGCTTGTGACTTGTTTGACACCGTTGGTCTTGGCAGCTCTGTCGACCCTGCGTTGGTAACCGCCGTGTTCGACCTGGCCAAGTAGGTCACCCATTTTCAAGTAACTGAGTTTATCTAGAGCCATTGTGGTCTAACGAGCCTAGGGAAGTAAACGTCTCTGTTATTACCACGCATAGCAGTGGAGGGCCATATGGGCGTACCTTTTCAACTGCATCTCCACACGCTTCTGAAGACACGCTCAGATAACTAAACAAAACAACCCGCAGTTGATAATACCCCAGTAGCCTTGCACGCGCGAGATATGCTCAACACCAGAATTCCCGTCGTCTTCTCGCACGCCACACATATCGCCTACGAGGACGCTATACTATTGTGGAGCACAAACCAGCACATCTCCATTACACCCGAGACCGAAATGGCACTTGCCATTGGGTTTCCGCATAGTGCGTGGATTATGGACCAAGCCTCGCTCGGTGTTGATTCGCACGGCATGGTTTCTACAGATATTGTGACCCAAGCTCGTATGTGGCTACAGACAACGCGCCTCAGGATTAACGACCATTTGCTGGAGGAGTGGATTATTCCGTCCTCAACCCCTATGAGCGTCGTCCAGGCTTTCCTTCTCGCTACGCGCAACGGTGGCCTTGCTCTACGTCGCCCCGACCTTGGGGTCCTTAGTGTCGGCGCCAAGGCCGATGTTATTATTTGGGATGGTACCAGTCCTTCAATGCTCGGCTGGATTGACCCTGTCGCAGCCATCATCTTGCACTCCAATGTCGGCGACGTGGAGTATGTCCTCGTTGATGGGCGCTTCGTTAAGCGTGACTATAAGCTGGTTGCCAAGGGCTACGACAACGTCAAGTTGCGTTTCTTGGAAGCCGCGAGGCGAGTGCAAGATGACTGGCGCGAGTTCCCTTATCCGGAGAGGCAAGAATTCTTCACGACGGGCGCGAGGTTCCAAGATCCCGTTCAAGTCGATGTTGTGGCTGGAGACGGTACCGGATACGGTCGGTTGTACGTCTAAGAGCACTCTCCTTTGCTGGCGCTCATCCTGCAGTCGGCATACCGCCGCCGTCGGAGTCTGCAAATCTGCAGCGACTGCATGGTGTTGTACATCTTCCCATGGGATTGCGGTTTCCGGCAGCGCTTTCATGCTGCTAATGCGTTTCTTGCCGATACAACTTCAAGTAGTAAGATATTTACGGACAAGAAAAGAGAAAATCCCAATACATATAAAGGCTCTGCAAAAAGTATAAGAATAATTTGTAAATTACTTGCTATACTACTATTATACCCACTCAATAACAAACTCCATACTCTGACCTGGCCTGCATTTCGTACCCGGCGCCACTAGCATAACAACTGACCATATACCAGAGGCGCATCGTTGAAAGCCTTTGCCATCTTTGTTACAGCTCCAGTATCCTTCAGGACTACAGGGCGTGCCGGGGGTAACAACGCCAGTAGTGGCCCCAGTAGGTACTGACTGGGCTGTTGTCTTGCGAGTTGTGGACTTGAGGGTCGTCTCTACTGTTGACCCCGGAACGGTGACAAACACACCGCCAGGCCTACAGTCATTCATATTAGGACAGTCCACCACGGCATTTTGAGGCATTCACGTACTTTGAGGTGGTTTTTATCGGAACTTTCGTTGTTGATGAAGCTGTCTTGCTTGTCGTCGTAGTCTTCTTGGTCGTCAAAGTCTGCCCGGTGGTAGTGGTAGTAATCTGAGCTCCAGGGCCAGCTGCACACTGGCCAACCGGAGGCCCAGTTTTGGAAGAGGTCAAATCGACATTAGGCCCGGGGTTGGGAAACATGACGTCTACCATCTCTGTAGTTCCGCAGCCGTTTCCGACATTGGCGATAAATATGGTAGGGCGCTTGCTGAGAGGTGTCGAGAGCGTCCCACTTCCAGCCTTGACGGTTATGGCAGCACAGTTCATGTACATTTCGCGGTTACCAATCCTGTTGAACCAAGTCCAAGCAAAGAGGGCCACGCCGGCGGGGGTGTCGACTGGCAGGGTGAATCTGAAAGACGCCGAGGGCGAAAGAGGACAGTTGCCGATATAGGACTGGATAACGATCCACGATTTGCCCTTATCAAAAGAAAGAGACGCCTGGCAACTACCACCGCCATGGTCTGCACCGCCAGCGATGGTCATGTTGTACTGTTGACCAGCTTGCCAAGTCACGGTGGGTGCACCAGCCGCAGTGCCCAAGAGAGACTGGTAGCCTTTGCAGGGAAAGTTACTTCCATCAGCCGCAAGGGGAGACGTCATGCTGTAGTCGATGTCTGACCCTGCATAGGGATTGTACTTGCTCTTGAAAGGAGCCGGATATGTCATCTCCATATGCGCTTGAGCTAGACCAGTCAGTCCCAGTGCCGCAGCGAGAGCGTTGAAAGGTTTCATGTTGTTGCAGAAGCAGAGAATAGAGTATTTCCGTATAAAAGAATAACGAGAAGTTTCTGAGAGCTGTGTGTTTAGCTTACAGTTAGCCTGAATTGCCATGTAGGGTAATGCAAGATCGACAGCCGGCGTGTCTCTTTATTAGTCTTTATACGCGTCCCATCATCCATGGCCTCTGTTTCCCGTCTGTCAATGAACGAATCGTGTCTCGGAACTAGATAGGATTGTGGGTTCACTAGCGGCGTCAATGCAATGTATTGAGAGCTAGAACGTGTTCATTAGAACGCGTTCGTTGTGGGGATGTTTCAGAAACGCCAAGTTGGCCCCATCGACCAGACACGAAAAAATGACAAATTCTCGTCCCAGCCACAAGATGGATCGAATAAGCGGGATAAAGATGGAAGGCCAATTGGGAAGCGATCACGGGGGCGAAACCGTGATGGCATCTTGAATACGGACGGTCCTAGCTAGATATGAGACAGTGGCTGGCGTCAATGTCTGCGAAGGCTGAAAATGCCACTGGATGGCAATGAATGCTTCTCTTGTCCTTCAATCTGGTCAACAGGCATAGTAAAGCTTAGTAATTATGTTTCCAACCTTCACTCTCTGCTCGTTTTTTTTTAAGGTATGGATTCGCCAGCCATCTTGACCATACATTACTAACTTCAAAAGAATCAGGTGGCTCAGATGCAAGGGATACGTCGAAGCCCGCTTCTTCTCCCTGAACAATCCCATTATGGACTATGTGCGATTAGCCGTTACGCACCATTCTGAGGCAGCCGAGCTAGTTACTACAAGAGACAATGCCACGCGTCGCAGAAAATGACATGCTATAATAGTTATTTTTGAGAGTAACATTCCTCGCTCCCATATGTTCGCCAAGGGTGAGGATATTATATCAGCGTGCCGGGTTCTGTCCGATTTCGTATTTACTGCAGTTTCGTCACTGGCAATTACGAATCCACTCAAAGACGCGATACACAGTATATAAGCGGGATAAGTAATCGTGTTTACAGGCACCGCCCCGTCGTTCAGCGTTGTTGCCGCTGTCCGGGTGCTGACGCACGACTCGAACAGCAGCCACGATTAACACGCCCCGAGTTGGAGGCACCTCCACCCAGTCCTGTCACTTCATTGCAACCTCACCTCGTCTCACCTGGGCCAGGCAGGAGGGATAGATCTCCGGAGCTTTGGGATTGCTTACGAGAAAACGAGCCTGTTCGTCATACAGCTTCTAAAGATTCATCGCAGACGTCTTCAGTGTCACTTATATATTGCGATCGCGATGCACGATCCGGTCTACTTGCTTGTGTTCTACACACCAGTCCAGTAGACGTCCGCCTCCAACTCAAAGACCTTTTGTAGAACTTCTGCACTGGGATCCGCGCTCCGAGAAACGATGATCTTGAATGCCCCCTTCTCAGCGTGCCACATCTTTTTCCATTCGTTCCAATACGACAAGGCGTACTTGTCCAGGCTGATCTTGACCGATGTTGTCTCGCCCTTCTTCAACCATACCTTGGCGAAGCCCTTGAGCTCCTTACGAGGTCTCAGAGCCTTGCAGTCCACGTCCGAGACATAAATCTGGACGATCTCGTGGCTGTCCCTCTCTCCCGTGTTGGCGAGATCGACAGACACTTCGAATGACTGATCGCCCTTGCTGCCCAGCGTGACCTTCTCGGGGACCCTCAAGTTTGAGTACTCAAATGTCGTATAGGAAAGCCCGTGTCCAAAGTAGAAGAGCGGGTCGTTTCTGAGCTTCTCGTAGTACCGGTAGCCGATAAACACACCTTCTCCGTAGTACATCTCGCGTAGCCCTTTGCCCCAGCTCAGGAAGGCCGGCGTATCTTCAATTCGACGAGGGAACGTAACGGAAAGACGACCGCTCGGACTGTGGCGACCAAACAGAACATCGGCGATGGCGTTACCCGTCTCTTGGCCGCCGAACCAGGCATGCACGAGGGTAGGCACATCCGCTACCCAGGGCATGGTCACGGGGCAACCGGACTGGCTCACGATGATCTGATGACGAATTAGCAATGTTGTGTTGATGGGCTCAACGAGGGCTTCGATGAGGGCGGCTAAATTGACTCACGGTTCTTGGGTTGGCCTCCATGACCTTTGTAATTAGTTCGTTGATACCAGGAGGTAGCTCCAGGTCAACTCGATCCAGGGCCTCGCACTCGTAGTCGGAGTTCAACCCGGCGATGACGATCGGGACATCGACCTGCTTGGCTAGCTCGATGGCCTCCGTAAGTGCCACGGCGGGGTCGATCTTCTCGCAGCAACCGATCCGTACTCCGCCGGCGTTCTGCGCCCCGTACCCCGGACGGATTGATTCATTCTTCAATAGAACGGAAATGCGGTATGACCTCCCTTCCTCGGCTTCCAAGTCAGCAATAACCTCCATACTGGCTTGGTTGAACATTGCTGTTTGGAGCGTCTTCTCGGGTTGGCTGGTCCATAGATCGATTGCCTCCCTGTCGTCAATGTAGAGACGAGCTTTGCCCATCACGCAGAGACCTAGCTGCATGGTGGCTGTCTCCGTTGCCGTGTACGTCGTGTTGACGCGAAGCCAGTATGCGTCGGGGACGCCTGCTGGGACGTCATCTGCAAAGTACATCTGGGCCTCGGTTGTTTTCGTGGTATGGACAGCCTTGGGCGCAGGGTCGGCCTCCGGGTCCTCGGCATACCAAAAGAGCTCATAGCCGGCATCACTTTTGCCAGGAACACTGACGTTCTCAGTCAGGAGTGGTGTGAAAAGGTGGGCTGTGTGGACACGACGGTTAGCCCGAAGAGTGGTGGAACTGATTTGGCTGATGTGACTTACAGTAGCATCCAATTGCCGTCTTGACGCGTTCGAGGCCAACAACGTCTTGGATAGCTTGTAGAGGCTTACTTATGTAGTAAGGAACAAGATCAGCCGACCCGCCGCCACTCACGGCTGGGTTCCTGATAGCAGGACCAATAAGGCCATACGTCTGGTCCGCCAGAGGGTCGAGCGGCAATACGCCCTTGTCGTTCTTGAGAAGAACGATGGAGCTTCGGGCGGCTTCGCGGCAGATCTCTCGCTTCTCAGGAGTATCACCAGACTGGCTGTCGGCGCCTTTGGGGGTGTTCTCGAGTGCCGGCCTGACCTTATTCACCAGGTTGAGGACGTTGCGGACTCGCTCATCAATGGTTTCCATCTTGACCTTTTGACAGAGCAATGCGAGCTCCAGGCGCTCGCCTCTCCATCGCGTCGGACCGGGCATTTCTAGGTCCAGACCAGCGTTGACGGATTCTGTGGTACTGCAGGTGCCACCCCAGTCGCTCATTACCAAGCCATCCCAGCCCCATTCCTTACGCAGCAGCTGGGTATTGAGCCAGGGATCCTCAAATGTGTGAACGCCATTGATGCGGTGGTATGAGCTCATGAACGACCATGGGTTTGAGTGCTTGACGGCCAGCTGGAAGGGCAACAGATGGGTCTCTCTGAGCGTCCTCTCAGAGACGCGGAGGTCATCTTCCAAAGACATAGAAGACTGGTCATGTGCGGCATAGTGCTTGATGGAAGCAGCGACGCCGCCTCCTTGGACGCCGTTGATATACGCCGAACCCATGAGGCCACTGAGGATAGGATCTTCGCCGAAGGCTTCGAATCCTCGGCCAATTAGGGGGGAGCGTTGCAGGCAGACGGTAGGTGCGAGCAGAACCTGGCAGCCCTTCTCCTTGGCTTCAATGGCTAGTAGATGGCCGACGGATCGCATCAGCTGGGTATCAAAGGTTGCGCCCATGGCAGTCGCCGAGGGAAGCAGGATGCCTCGGGGCTGTTCCGTTGTCATGGTCAGCCAATCCGAAAAGCAGACATTAAGTAAAGAGCAGTTGACTCACGCCATTGAAAAAGGATGTGCCCCGCGCGCCATGCGGTCCATCTGTTGTCTGTCGTATTGAAGTCAATATGCAGTTCGATGTTCGGCGTTGACTCAACCCCATGACATACTGTGATGGAGGGAATACCCAATCGCTCCACAGCGTGAGTCCCCCAGGTATCTTTCCCTGATAGAAGCGCAATCTTCTCATTTAAAGTGAGGTTGGACAGAACATGCTCGACATCCAAGGAAGAAGAAGACATATTCGGCAGCGGTGAAAACGGGGAAGTTGTGGTCAGCTTCAATCATGAATGGGGGGTATGTGATGAGAAAGGGAAGACCATGTTAAAAGACGTGACGATGTGCTCCTTTAAATCTGCCCCGAAGCATGGAGCGGGAAAAGATGCGGGGTCTGCTGCTGGAGGAGCCGTGAGGTAATACATTCACAATGTGACGTTGGCTGGCGTGAGTGGACCGCGTCGACAGTTTCTCATCGAGAACACGTGCCCCGCGACAGGGGGATGTTCTCCTTATGCGCTCTGTCCGGTATTTGCCCGCAATTGACGCACTTGAGGGAATGGCTTTGGATGGAATTCCAAGAACCGCGGGCGTTAGATCTAGGCATCAAGGGGCGGGACACTAGAAACACCCCATTTCACGTGGCCGACATTATACTGTTACCAGTGCTTTTGGAGCTGCGACGTAGAAATTGGCCATATGTCCAGTGGAGCGAACGGTGCCATAGTAAGAGTTCCCATTCGGATAATTAGGAGCATTGGGCCCGGACAATTCACATCTCGGTCAAATGCCTCTAAGCAGCAATTGAGGGGAGAGCCGCCCATGGAGAGCGCCTCCGACCTAGCACAATCCGGTTTTGGCCAACCTACTAGTTTTCAGCTTCGAGAGGGTCATCAAATCCCACTGTCCATCCATCCCCGCCATGATTGACGCACTTAACCGCATTGCCCCATGCACCATGGGGTGGAGCTGAGAGGGAACGAGGTACGAGCCACCGGAACGAGCGTTGAACGAGCAATGGTCCCAAAGAACAAGCAATCCCGAGCGGGTAAAGATGTTTTACACAAGGGTTGTGACACCCATGCCATCACTCAACACGACATCACCAGCATCATGATAGGCGTTTCCTCAAGAAATGATCGAACTCGAAAAGGCACTCGATTGAAATATTGAGACAGTATCAAATTGGACAATGGAACCCAAGGGGTGGGTGCACCTACGTGACTATTGGTGTTCGTCGAAGTGACGATCGACGAAGCTCTTGGCTCGTCCTACCACAGCCTCAATCTTCGTCACCGTCTTGTCAAGTTCTTGGACGCGCGGGGCCTGTGTCGACTAATGCCAATGTTTGCCCGAACGCCATCAGACATACATATATAAGGAATCTCGTGGCCGCTGTTACGATATCCAGAAACACACAATACAACTCCCGCTCACACCTTTCGACATAGCCACCAAACGCATATACTCTTCGTAACCATGTCTCCCTTTGGCATCAAGTCTCTCTTCGTTGGCCTCTTGGCCACCAATGCAGTCCAAGGTGCTGTCTGCAACACCACTACGCCACTGAGGGTAGAAGCCGCCAAAAAGGACATCCTCATCGGCTCCGGGGCGATCAACCCATCCTACCTCGACGACCCTCAGTTCGCGGCCACCCTAGCCACGCAGTTCAACAGCCTGTCGCCCGAGAATGAGATGAAATGGAACTTTATCAACCCAACTATTGGAAACTACAACTGGCCGCTCCTCGACTGCCTTGTCGACTTTGCCGAAGCGAACGACATGGTGGTCAAAGGCCACGGCCTGATCTCAAGCTGCTGCAATCCAGATTACGTCACGGAAATCACCGATCCGGATGCCCTCCGCGCGGCCATGATGGAGCATTTTGAAGCCCTCATGCACCGCTATCGTGGAAAGATAGACCGCTGGGACGTCGTCACTGAAGGCATGATGACAATGGGCGGCGGTCTCAATCCGGAAGTCCACTTTTTCAAGGTCCTCGGAGCTGGCTACATGGCCGAAGCCTTCCGTATCGCCCACGCCGCCGACCCGAACGCCAAGCTCTTCATCAACGAGAATCTGGTCGAGACGATCCCCACCAAGCGCCAGGAGCTCTACGAGATCGTCTCCGGCCTCGTGGCAGACGGCGTGCCCATTCACGGCGTCGCGCTGCAGATGCACCTTACCGAGGTTGGTCCTGAGCCGGGCGTGATTCGGGACATGGTCGACTCGTACGCGAGCCTCGGGCTTGAGGTTACGGTTGCCGAGATGGACGTCCACTCACTCAACACCACCCTCGTGACGGAGATTTACGGGTCGGTCGTGGAGGAAATCCTGGAGTCGGGCATTACCGATCTCAGCTTCTGGGGCTTCACGGATAAGCATGCCTTCACGTGGGTCGAGGGCGCGAAGCCGTTGATGTTCGACGAGGAGTACAAGCCCAAGGGGGCTTTCTTCGCCACGCACGCCGCTCTGGCCGACTTCGTCAACAAGCCGTGAATGCTACGAGAGTAATGATTATTCGAGCATGGCGAGGAAAATGTGGAAGACGAGAGAGTCAGCTGGTAGCTCAGGGGTTATTGAGGTTGGGTAGCTTGAAACAGGTACCATGGGGAGTGGTGCGAGTGACTTGGCTTCATGAAAACAATTTGGCTAGTTGAAGCCTGGAGCTCCAGAGAGCATGAAAACAATCAAGCATTGCTCATGTCTCAATCAAAGGTCCGATTTCAGTCCCAAGATTGCCGTAGCAGATGAATGCCATCCTTTGTAGAGGAGATTTAAGGTGTCTTCGTTTCAATGAACAAACACACACGAAGGACAAGAGCTGCTGAGATCATGTCGAGGCCAGGGAGATCCCATATGGGAGTCGCCGCCGTCTCCTATGGTCCTGATCGGACAGAGAACGCCCGTCTGACTTCATAATGTGCTTCCGCGTTTCCGTAAGCTCGGAGCATACTGTGATCAACGGCAGAAAAGGAGGGAGAATTCCATACTATTAGTGGCTTGATCGAGTCGAGGTTGCTGGGTTGCAACAGTAATTGTCAGCAGGCATCGCCTACTGAATTGCCGTCAAAGTTGGGAAAGAACTAGAAGCATACGCAGGTCGAGTTCTGACGGTAAACAAGCTTTAATTTCAGTTATATTTCATTTAAATAGCGGCGGTTGATCTTCTACGTCACCACGGAATTCCAGTCCCAATTCGAAAGAGCCCGTCTCTTCGATTCTCATTTTCCTACAATGAAGCCTGTGTCCTTTGCTTGATCATGTCCTGAATCATTAAAGCCGACTGCTTCGGCGTTCTCTCTAGCGTCTCGCAATCTGTGAAAGTCACACCAAATCGGATATCGTACCCGGAGAACCACTCTACAAACCGTGTCAGTCCTGGAGTCACGAGCGCATTATCTAGTTGAAGGACCTTACCAAAGTTATCAAGCAACGACCAGGCGAAATACCCAGCTACTTCTGCACCATCCTGCCTCGCCTGAACAAGAGCGTCCAAATGTTCTGAGAAGTATCGCTGACGGTAGTCATCCTTGACGGACTCATTACGGGTCATTGTATCTTCACCAGGGCAGGGACATCCATTCTCGGTGATGTAGATGGTTTTCCCATACCTTTTATAGGCCCTGACGAGGTGCTTCTGGAAGCAGGAGGGGGCAGACCGGAGCCAGAAAACGCCGCTTGGGTCGCCAATGGACACACCGTTCTTATTCTCCTGGAGCTCGTCTAGATTGCCGATAAAATCTGTGTCCGGAGCAGGGGTGGTACGGTGACGACCAAACTGGGCAGTGTAATAGTTCATGCCGTAGAAGTCAAGATCTGCCTCGCGCAGGAGTGCAATTTCCGCATCCGTGAGACGCGGGAGTCGTTCCCCAAGCTGGTCACGCATGACCTTGGGATAATCCTGGGCAAGGCTAGGGTGAAATCGCACGGTCAGTGGGTGTATCTAAGGCGGCGACAACCTACCCCTGACTGAGGGAGACTCACAACATGGGATTGGCAAACCAGCCAATGCAGAATTCCATCCTCGTCTCGGCTGCATCGTGGTCTTTGGGCTCATTGGAGTCCCATGCCTCAAAATAGTCACCACTCAAGGACACTCCGATCTGCCCTCCGTTCTTAGGCTTGAACTCCTTGTTGTACAAGCTTGCCGCTCTCGCGTGCGCCATAATGAGGCTCTTGCCGGCAATCCAAGGCTCTGTGGTCGAGTCGCCCTCGGCACAGTCCTTGTTGGTACTGCTTCGCCCAGGAGCATCGATACCAGTGGAGTAGCCCTGCCAATATTGCGTCAGCTTTTCATTTGTGAAGTGTCTCCCAGCCTTAGTATCGGCAGCATGCGTTTTCACTCACACGAATCGCGCAGACCCACGGCTCATTTAACGTGATCCAGTTCTTCACTCGGTCTCCGAACCTCTCATAACACACCCTCGCATATCTTTCGAAATCTTTCTGTGACTCCTCAAGGTCGAGCCAGCCTCCGTATCGGTCATGCAGCGCCTGGGGTAGGTCCCAGTGATAGAGGGTCAGCCAAGGCGTAATGCCCCGAGCGATGAGCCCGTCGATGAGTTTATCGTAAAAAACAAGGCCTTCCTCATTAACAGGGTCATCACGCCCGCCGAGGGGAATAACGCGCGACCATGCAAGAGAGAACCGATACGCCTTTGCACCGAATTTGGTGAGGAGGTCCAGATCCTCCTCGTATCGATGATAATGGTCGCAAGCAACATCGCCGGTTCCTCCGCTGGTCCGGGAGGGCTGTATATGAGTGAAGGTATCCCAGATGCAGGGACCACGCCCTCCCTCGTCGATGCCACCTTCGATCTGGTAGGCTGCGGTTGCGAACCCCCACTCGAAGTTCGGTGGAAGCGCCTGAGATGTGGTGGCTGATTGGGGAGACATGATATCAGTGTACGACTCCATCCAGCGTCGATAGTCTCAGTAAGGCAAATGCGGGGAAAAGGTTTGAGGTCGTCGATTGTCTCAGGGAACCATTACCATTTCCCGGTTAAGCAAATTGAACTTGACTGACCCGGAATATATACCATTGCATCTCATGACGATGTTGAGATGGACCGCCCTGTTGCGTCACTTTCACTTGACAAGAAGCTTCTAAAAATCCACCTTGCCAATGTCGGGCACAATTGACCGAAGAGTTGCCAATGAATGGTGAACCGGACAAATGATCGGATAGTAGGTGCCGGGGAACGAAGAACGAAGAGAACTCGTTTACACCGTATCGGAGCTCGTTCATGATGATGGGAACGAGGTTCCCTTCCCTCTTCTGGAGTAGCGGCGTGAGGGGCTGGAGGGGCTAATTCAGCGGTGGCGAATTAGGGGATTTAGCCGGAATCCGTCTGCAGATCCAACTACAGTAAAGTTCCCTAGACCTAGACCTAGACGTGGACGTGATAATAAAAGACGAGACACGCCTCTAATTGCCCGACTGGCAACATCCGCACTCCACCAACAGACAGATACCATCTTTCACCCGGATGAATTCGCCCGAGATAACCCGGCAGTCCGGGGTGCAGCTTCCAAGGCAAGCCTGCAAGCTCTGTCGCCGCCGCAAAATCAAGGTCCGCAACATACCTGCAGCCCAGTAGATGCTGGAAGAGAATTGAGGCGGGAGCAAGGCCGACATGTTTTGCTGACGAGATTGCGTCGCCAAGTGTGACAGCCTGCCGACATGTAGCAACTGCCTCACGTCTCAGGCGCCGTGTATATACGCGCTTCCGAGGAAACGAGGCCCTAAGCCGCGCAGATGGCGGGAACATAACGGAATAGAGTCTCATGGCTCCATGTCGCCGGCCTCCAGCTCATCTATAGGAGCCGAAAGTAGTCCAGCACCGGTCCCTGACATATCTGAAGATCCTCAGACCGATCCTCAGACCGATCCTCAGACCTGCGTGTTCCCGCCATCCGCCAGCACCAGCCCACTTCACAGCGGCGTCATCGCCGTGACGTCGAATTTGTTGTTTGAAACGCCAACAAGTCAAACCGAAAGCGCTGTGACGATCCATCTCAGGCTTCTGTCCGGATTGCTCGAGGCTGTTCCGTCCGTGTCGGGAGCAGATGTCGCGAACAGCTGCATCTACTTGTACACCCGATACGTTTTCGGAGCATTCCCGTTGTGCCACGAGGCTACACTTCGGGCCACCGTCAGTCGATTCTTCATCCCGCTTCTGGATGCAGGAGATCGAGATCACACTGAGAGCCGAGGACCCATCACGCTATGCTTTGCCGCCGACAGCGAGCGGGAGAGAATCGGCGCTCTCCGGAGGCTGACGCTTCTCACGGCACTTTGCGCTGCCGTAGCATACGTCGTGCCTGAGACTCTCATGGCGGACAAGCAAGTCGTGGCCCCCCTCTTCCTCCGAGCTTCGCGAGAAACATTCAAGATCTTCGAAGACTATGATCTCGAATACCCAGACTCAAGCTCTCTCGGCATCAGGCACTTCTTTTCATCGGCCATTCAGAGCGCCACTGGGATATACGGAGCGGCATTTCATATGCTTAACCAGGCAGGCCTTATTGCCATGAAAATGCATCTTTACGACGAGAGTTCGCTTGAAGGACTTGATCCAATTGAAGAGAAGCTTCTTCGAAATACATTCTGGCAGCTATACGTCTGCGACCAGACAGCCCTGATAATGAAGGGCCGCCCAGTGACGATCCACGAGTCGCTGTTCGAGACCGAGTTTACCATCAAGACACAATCTAGGTGCTCTGTTCCGTTATTGATTCACCCCGAGCGCTCCCAGGGCGCCAGATTGGAAGATTCCCTGGCAGAGGGATTCCACGTCATCTGTCGGCTATGGACCATGGCCGCTCATGTCATCCACAGCATGGAGTTGCTGTCGAAAAAAAGGACCCTGGACAAATTTCTCGACGCCCAAGATCGCTACGAGGCCGTTGCGCGACTTTCGCGTACGTACTTTGAGGTCATCACACTCACGAGCGATCCTTCCGACTCTGCTGGGCTGCCCGAGAAGTCATCACCAAGCCCTGGTCGGGAGGCAGATCAGCACTTGCTCGATATGCTACAACGCCAGCGGACCAGCTGCCTCATCAGTCTTCACACCATCAAGGTTCACGTGCTACATTCTGCGGTTCGGTGTGGAATGCCGGACGTGCTGGGCTTGAGTTCGGAACCGCTCAGTCTCGTCATGAAGCAGATTGAAGTGGCCCAAGAGTTTCTGTACGTTCTCGAAAGCGTCCCGTTTATACATCTCCAGACAGAGGGAGAGCATTGTGTAAGTGCAAACTTCCCCGTGCACATGCCTCGCCCGAGGTTGTTCCAATTGCTTACAGAGACTTCGTTACATCAGTCTGAGAAAATGAGAAAAGTTGGTAGCCTACTCCTCGAGATAGCCGAGGGAGCCACGGTAGATGTGGTCAAGACACGGGCGAGTCATTGTACCATGCGCCTGGTGAATTTGCTGGCTCGCCTGGACTCGAAAGCATCGGATATGTTGGAGCAACAACACATGAACTTTTGATGGGCAATGGAAGAAAAATAATTTTCTCAGAAGCTTTCCATCTCTAGGCCTAAATAGTTCACCTTGACCTTTTCGTTGCCGATGGCAAAGACCCCAATGATGGGGCCGACAAAGTCGTGTCCGGTCATGTCTAGAGTAGCGATGTGCGCGAACCTCTCTTTCTTCTGTACACCACCCACATCGAGGCAATACCAGAACACGAACTGTAGCTCGGTGTAGTCAACCCCGAAAGTGATTTTCATGCCTTCACGCAGGTTTTCCAGTCTCCGAGCCTCCTTCCGTTCGATGCACTTGGCCTTGTTGACCGTCTCTAGAACAACCTCCTTGGAGTCGACGTCGACAAAGACGCGAATAAAGCGGTGCTCATCCTTGTAGTAGCACAGTCCGGTCTTGAGCCTGGAACCACCGACAGCGGTCAAAGCTGTGACTTCTAATGTTGCGGACGCAGAGCCGTCGAGAAGCCTATGGCGTTTTCCCACGAACGTCACCGGCTCATCGTATACCGAGATATCCGCCTTGCTAGGTATCAAGGCGATGCGTCCGCCCTCGTAGTCATAATCCTCCTGGACAGGGTCCCGGATGTGGACGAGACTAATATCAGGACGTCCCGCCTTTCTTCTTTGAGGCCAATTCGTCGAGCACGGAACCAGGTCAGTAGCGAGTGGAACATCCAGTTGGACCGTATCGATAACCGTAAATTCGCCCACGGGCCAGGTAGCCGTCGTGAGGAACGACTCTCGCCCCATGATGAAGTGACCGGCGACCTTCCTTACACCCAGGCACAAAAAGTACCACTGCCCGGACGGGTTCTGGAATAGGTCTCCGTGGCCGGTATACTGGATATATCCATTGGGATCCGTCTTGCCCAGTACCGGGTTGGCTGGGTTGGACTCATACGGCCCCCAGATATTCCTTGAGCGGGCCATAATGGTGTGATGGTCGGCAAAGCAGCCGCCTTCGGCGACGAGAAGATAGTACCATCCATCCCTCTTATACATATGGGGCCCTTCTGTATATACCCTGGTGATGCCTTCCCAAAGAACCTTTAATTCGGAGAGCATCTTTCCCGTCTTCAGGTCGATCTGGAACTGGGAAATGTTTGAGTTGGGATAGGCCTCAGCGGCGCCAATCACATACACTTTACCATCATCGTCCCAGAATAAGCTTGTGTCAATAGCATTAAAATCGTAGAATATTGGTTCGCTCCATTCATCGGCCCAGATGTCGGTCGTGGACAGAATGAAGTTCTGGGTCATATTTTTGTTGGATGGCTGAGACGGCGTGTGTATTACATTGGTGCAGACGATGTAAAACGTGCCTTCGCGATAACGGATGGTGGGAGCGTAGAGACCACCTTGCGAACAAACAATATCTTCGCCCTCGCCGACGATCTTTGTATAGGACTGTTGGAGTTTGAGTTGCCCGGGCCGATTTAGTGCGTTGCCTTGATTTCATACATTTTCAGCATTCGGAGACCGGAGAGGAGCAAGTGGCCATACCGATTTGTTTCCACGTCTTCAAATCCTTCGACGCATACACTGGCAGCCCAGGGAAAATGTGAAAGCTAGAGTTGACAAGAAAGTAGGTGCTGTCTACATAGATAACAGAAGGGTCAGGGGCGAAGCCTGGAATGACGGGGTTGACTTGGAATCGCTGCATGGTGATGGAGGCGCGTATGCTTGACATAAAGTCCAGGTCAGGTTCGACGCAGTGGCATTTGTGTTCTCTTATACCAACACGTACCCTCCTGGGTTACGGTGAGATTCCTATAATCCCGAGGCGTCGGTCCTCCCATACTCCACTTCCCTTTTCGTCTTCGGCCAAATTCACAAGCATGACCGAAGCGATGTCGTGTGGTATGATTTTACTATTGTCCGGCGATTTACTCCCGCGGTTACGGATCACGACTTGTGGAGAATCGTGTGATTAGATGATGTAATTTGCGGTGTGCAAGATACAGGCATAGTCTCTTGACATTTCCATTTTCAATGAAAAAGGATCGGGCAATAACGCTGCTTCTGACGAAAGAAATTTCACCGAACGCAAAAAAGCCATTGAGATATCCCGACAGCATCGGGCGAGGCACCAAAAAAAGGGTGACCCCGGGGGGCGGAGCGGGGGTGCGACTAGACAGGGGGACTAACTTAGTTCCTTATGGAAATGGGGTAAATGGGGAAAGTCCGTGAGAGCTGAGATATTTCTTACCAAGTGTATTTGACCGAAGCGGCCAAACGAGATCGACCTCGAAGTCTGCCAGAAACTTACGAGGAGCCCCCCGATTGGATCCCGCACTCCGCGGGGCTGTTGGTCTCGAACGAGGTCTCCTGAGGAGTTAGTGCTCCTTTCCCCAGACCATGTGATTCTGGTCCCATGGGGCTGGAAGTAATCCGGAGTGCGTGACTCGAGGCTTTTGCGGGGGAGGCGCTGAATGTCACTGCACACCTGGGAATAGGAAGTCTTTGGAAATCAGACCAGAGTCTAAGCCGCCACTGCACGAGTATATATAGACGATCGCCTTTACTTCTCAGTTTCTCGAGCCCTCCCTCTGCTCTTCCAACCATCTAAAGCCTCGTCTTTCTCGACACTCACTTCAATTGCCCAACACCACAACCCTCAGCATCGGGTTCGCACCAATTGTGCCATGTCGACTAACGAGGATGGCGAGCTGCGGCTCATGCAACTCTGCACAAAGGAGTCTTGGTGGCGCGTTCCCCACCTCATGAAGCTGAATTTGATGCTTCTCATCCCGTTTTTCACGAGTTATATCGGCGGCTTCGATGGCAGCATGCTCAACGGAATCCAGACAGTCTCGCATTGGCAAGAGGGTGAGGCTCAACTGCTCATGCTCCGCCTGTATCAGATCACTGACACGAGCATCGCTCTTAGATTTCAATCACCCCTCGGGTTCTCTCCTCGGAGTCCTAGTGAACATGCAGACGATTGGTGGCGTTATTTCCCTGCCTCTTGCACCCTGGATGGCCGATAAATACGGCAGACGGCCCCCGATTCTGCTGGGTTCCAGTATCATCATCCTTGGCGCGGCCGTTCAAGGCGGAGCCCAGAACTTTGGCATGTTCCTTGCCGGCCGCTTCTTCATTGGCCTTGGTGGAGGATTCGTTGCGACCGCTGCTGCACCACTCCTTGCAGAGCTGGCGTATCCGACGCATAGGCCCGTCATCACCGCCATCTACAATACCCAATGGGTAAGTAAGCCGACTTTTCAGCTCTTCCTCCATATTCTTCTTCATTACATGCGTTACTAACACGTTTCACATAGTATACTGGAGCTATTGTTGCCGCCTGGGCAACGTATGGCACCTTTAGAATACCAAACAGCTGGAGTTGGCGAATCCCTTCTCTTTTACAAGCACTTGTCTCTATTTTCCAGGTAGCCTTGATTTATCTCGTCCCGGAAAGTCCAAGGTGGCTCGTCGCGAACGATCAAATAGATAAAGCTACCAGGATCCTTTGCAAGTACCACAGCGGCACTGAAGAACCAACCGAGCTCGTCAGACTTCAGATGGCCGAGATTAGCAGCGCCATCGAGTTCGAGCGCGAACAAAAGTCCACTTCGTACTTCCAATTCTTCCGGACAAGTAAGTTCTACATCTTCATCTTCAAGTTTCGAACACAACGCTAATATACCTCCACCTATACAGAGGGAAACCGTCACCGGTTCTTCGTCGTCGGCATCCTCGGTTTTATTATCCAGTGGTGTGGCAATCAGCTTATCTCAGGATATCTAGCTCTCGTTCTGCGAGGTATTGGCATCACCGACCCCGAGACCCAGAACCTCATCAATGGTGGCCTCCAGATCTACAACTTTTTTATCGCCGCGGGTTCTGCAACTCTCGTTAACCACCTTAGCCGGCGATTCCTATTCCTAACGTCCACTATCGGGATGCTGTGTGCATTTATTATTTGGACCGGCCTCGCGGCACGGAATCAACAGCTCGAGTTCGAGAAGGGTCTTGGCATTGGTATCGTCGCCATGATGTTCGTCTTCTATACCTTTTACAACTTCGCCATGAGCCCCCTCCCCATTGCATACATACTAGAGATATTGCCGTATTCGCTTCGTGCTAAGGGTTTAACCGTCTTTAATCTTGCACAGTACTGCAGTGGGTTATTTAACGGCTTTGTCAACCCGGTGGGGCTCGAGGACCTCCGTTGGAAGTACTATATTGTCTTTGTGTGCGCGCTGATGGTGTGGCTGGCCGTTATCTACTTCACCTTCCCAGAGACGCGTGGTCTGAGTCTGGAGGAGGTCAGCATGATTTTCGATGGCAGGCAGGCGCTGGAGAGGACCTACGACATCAAGGACGAGGGGCTTGTTCATGAAGAACACACAGAGAAGTCGGCTCCTGATGGGCAGACCAAGGAGCTCTGATACCGACCTGAAACTCAGTCTCGGCAAGGCTTCGATGCTTCTTCTCCCGGTCTCTGAGCAGTCTTTCAAAGGGGCGGGAGGGAGCGGATGGGCTTGACAATGAGATGTCCCGGTAGTTGAGGAAAGGTGGCTGTTGCGGGATGCCAATGTATTGCGATGCATTAGTAACTAGGCGAAGATGTGATCCCCTCGGCAGCCTTCAGTCTTCCATATTACACTCTGAACCATTCTGCTCTAATTTCTCATCTTCGTACGCCTCAATTTGAAAGATGTTTGGATCGATGTTTGCAGAGAGTTGAGAAAACCAGCAAGTCGCAATACGTCTACTCGATTCGTGGTATCTCAATGTTCTCATCGCATCTTGGGCGAGACGGACGCAGAAACTGCACTAGGGAAGCGGCGCTTTATCTCAACTGAGCACGCCGTTGCAATCTGGCTTGCAGTGATATAGTAGTAAACGAGACATTGAGTGCCGGGACAAGTTCAGGCACTGCGGTGAGCCATACATTGTTGCCAGATTCGACAGCATGGCCATCAGCGCTTCAATGCTACGCTACTCAGGTCGCCCAGGCGATTGAAACTCCTGTGATCGGCATGGTTGTGGACATGGGAAAAGCAGTTGGCGCCGCCAGCCCCGCGAGTGGCTTCCCCGACCGGGTATCAACAAGCGACAGCTCGCTCCGAAGACTGACTGACTCCGAAGACTGACTCCGAAGAGAGCCAGAGCCCCGCCGCTTATTTGCCCGGAAACGCACAGGCTTTTCGCCGAGGCATCAATATATATCCAGATATATCTGTCATTTGCCCGGCATCAACGCCACCTCCGCTCACTCGGTCAATTACTTCCCTTCCTCGCCTTCTTTCGGCCCACGTTGAGTCTGAACTAACGGCAAAATCGCCCCAGCTTGAGCCAACAGTGGACCATGCCAAGGATAGACAACGGGCTAATCAACTCGGTGCGTGAGGGAAAGGGGAGCCCTTGGAAATGCTCATCAAGCGACGAAACCACTCTACGTACAGCGGGGTTGAGCCATGACGGTTCTTCTCGGAAGGCTCATCCGCTAGATGTTGGCAACGTCTTCTATAAGACTGTGAAGCTCCAGCGCCTCCTTGCTGTTCTCAAGTGCTACCATCACCCAGCGTCGTAGCGCACTCATCATCTTCCGCCATCCGCTAGACGTCTTCCAAGTTCCAACAATGGCTCCCAACACCCCGTCTCACCCCCACCTCCGGCGCGATGCAGAAAATGGCACAAAGCTCATCGTCAACGGCGAGCCCTTCCTCATGCTCGCCGGCGAGCTGCACAACTCAAACCTCAGCTCAGCCAGCTACATGGCCGAGGTATGGCCACGCATGGTCCAGCACGGCGTCAACACCCTGCTCGGCGGCGTCTCTTGGGCGCACGTCGAGCCTTTCGAAGGAGAATTCGACTTTTCGGAACTAGATAAGGTTATTCTCGGCGCGCGAGAGCACGGAATGCATCTTGTGCTACTGTGGTTTGGAACTTGGAAGAATGCAGTCAGCACGTATGTCCCTCCCTGGGTGAAGACGAACTCGAAGCGTTTCCCACGTGTAAGAGCCGTCGATGCAGACGGCAACCGGAAGATCCTCGACATCATCTCGCCACTATCCACAGAGTGCGCCGATGCCGATGCAAAGGCTTTCGGCATGCTGCTGGCTCATCTCAAGGAGTTCGACGGCGACTATTCTACCGTGCTTATGGTTCAGGTGGAAAATGAGACGGGCATCCTCGGCGATTCTAGAGACAGGTCTCCTCTGGCTGAGGCGGCGTGGGAGGAGCCCGTACCGGAAGCTCTGCTTGCCCATCTGGCTGAGAACCCCCACCCGCAGTTCGCAAAGCGCTTCCCTACTATTCACAAGAGCGGAAAGCACCACTCTTGGGAGGAAGTCTTCGGGGTTGGAGCCCCCGCCGATGAGATGTTCATGGCGTTCCACATCTCCCGCTACGTCAACAAAGTGGCGGCGGCCGGCAAGGCGGCTTACCCGCTTCCGCTATACGCCAATGCCTGGCTCATCGTCGACGGACCGGAATGTCTGGATCCTTCGACTCCCGCCTCAGTAGCAACTTCAGACGAGGTGGCCGGAGGCGCAGTACCGGGACAATACCCCTCGGGCGGCCCCTGCACACACGTCCTCGATATCTGGCGCTTCGACACCCCCTCTTTGGACTTCATTTCTCCCGACATTTACTTCCAGGACTATGAGATGACGTGCAAGGACTACCTCTACAAAGACGACCCTCTCTTCATCCCAGAGCAGCGACGCGATCCCGAGGGCGCCCGCAGGATGTGGCTGTCGTACGGAACGTACGGCGCGATAGGAGTCAGCCCGTTTGCCATTGAGATTGACCCGACAGCCGTGGGGCGCGAGTTTGTGGTCCTGAACCGAGTCAAGGATATCGTCGCGAAGGCGTCCGCCACAGATCGCTTCGGCTTCTTCTTCGATGAGCTGGAGGATCCCCCTAGGAAGGAGAAGACGTGGTCCAAGGTCTTTGGAGACATGCAGGTTACCATCGAGCGAGCCTCTGTCTTTGGCAAGCCGGGCTCGGGCGGAGGCCTCGTCGTCAAGCTTGAAGAAAACAAGTTCCTGCTCGTCGGGTTTGGGTTCGACGCGAGGTTTAAGAGCTTGAAGAAGGGGGCCGGGTTCACCGGCATCCTGACGGCGAAGGAACTGGAAACCGGTGAGGATGGCAAGCTCCGCGTCGGGCGTATTTGGAATGGCGACCAGATTAAGGGCGGAGAGGCGATGGTGATGCACAATGAGGATCCCGACTATGGTGATTTTCCCATCCCGGCCTCCCTCCCTGCTCGCACTGGTATTGCAGAGGTTGAGGTGTATGTTTTGGAAGAGGATGCTTGATATATTTAGATAAGGAAGTAGCTGGAAAAGAATTAGAATATTTAACCTAATAATTTAGCCAGCTTTTATATATACTAGGTCCCATGGCAGCAAGCTGTCATAGTGGAAAGCAACAGGGCCGCTGGACTCGCAGTGCTGCTTGTAAGCAGCCAGCTGTCGCTCGAGCGAAGTCATCTCTATCAACCGCTTGTTGCGCTGGTTCTGCTGGGCGCGACGGTCCCTGGCCCGCTTCTTCTCGAGCGACCTGATACCTCGCTGGTGTGTACACCAAGGACTGACACAGTCGAGGGACGGGATTCCGCACTTGGACGCTTTCGCACTTAACTTAAGTACCCCTCATTCTTGATGGCTGGAGGATGGAAACTCTGTAGTCCGGGGCAGCGGGACACGGAGCTGTGGATTACTCCGAGAGCCCTACTGAGCTCGGTTCATGTGGCAAAGCAAAGGGAATGAGGAAAAATAAAAGCATCGAACAAAGGTAGGGTGAATACATTAGCTTCGAGCCGACAAATGCTTGCCATGGTAGTCGCAGAATAGTTCATTCCTTACATTACGAGCAGTCTCAATCAAGTCAAGTCAATCCACATGACCCTGCGCAAAAAAGAAGGAGAAAAAGAAGGAAGAGACGCCGTGGCTAATATTTGCCGTCTTCACTGTTGCAAATGTCTGGTGACGTAGTATTTTAGTTATACTATTAGTGCCCGAAGCGATTAAGAGACCCTCGTCGCTCCAGCGGTCAAGCACCATGGCGCACAACGGCAGGTTCAAGAAGGTCTCGGGGATCTGCGACCATGGCCGCCAAGATATGGAGAGGAAGGGTCAAGGCAACGCCTCTACCGCAAACATACATGTGCCGCCGGTTACGACTCTCCCTGGGTTGTGGTCGGTCGAGAGCAATCCCGGAAGGAGTGCCGTGTCCGCTTCCACGGTGACTCTGACAGGAAGAAGTGGACTATGCGCGAACTCCGTGACGAAGCCGACGAGTTTACATTTATTCATAATATAAATACTTGAGTACTAGTAGTTGCAGCGAAAGGACATTCTTGCTATATCTATCATACACACAATCAAGTCATCCAAGTGCCACCCCAGCTTACCAACATTTCCACCTTATTCTGACATGGCATTAGTCTGCACTAGCGTCCTGCTTCCCCGCATTTACCTACTCCAGTCCCCAGATTTCCAACCATGTGCCCCCTAAGTTAATTCTTTCCCCTTCGTCCTTGCATTGTCCCGAACCTCTTCACTTTTTATCGTCACAGAAATATTGCTCCCTCCCCCCGTTATGAACTCCGAAATCTCAGTACACAGGCCTCAACACGAGCCCAACGGCCCTCAGCGCGCTTCTAGGCATGACAATATCCGACGCTTCGTGTGCTCCACCTGTCGCCGATCCTTTTCGCGCTCGGAGCATCTCAAGCGACACGAAAGAGTCCGTAAGCCGCTTCCCCATTGATCTGAAATCCCCACCTTCTCTGACGTCTCATCGTCATGGTTGCCAGACACCAAAGAGCGCCCGTTTCGATGCCCCTACTGCGGAAGAGCCTTTGTTCGCAGTGACATCCTCTCGCGACACATGAAGTCCTTCCATCCCGACTCGGAAGGTCTCGAAAGCGCGGCATACGAGTCGGCCACAATAACAGCTGCCGACGCGGCACCCCGAAGCAAATCCCCAACAGTCGAAGCAACAAGCCGTATGCCTCCTCAACCAGCAGCACGGAGAGGAACCTCGGCCTCTTTGGACGACGGTATGCTTTGGCTTTCACTTGCGACCTTCATCCTCCTGACGTGCGATTATAGCCATCAGCCCGACTCCCAGCATCCCGGAGTTAAGCGGAAGCATCGGAAATACAGCGAACCTCATTGACGAAAGCGCTCCCATTAGCATTGCCCAGCCTCGAGTACGGAGATGGTCACCAGGGCCACCTTCTGCCGGTACTAATCACAGCCCATTCGGCGACACTGCTGTAGAAGCCAATGGACCTCGATCGCCTCCGAGATTTGCAGCCGATTCCAACGATAACCAGACTGACAGCTCTCCCGACTTGGACATGTCTTGGACCGAGGAACATCATGGTATTGGAGAGAACCGTTTTCCGTCTGACGTGGACGTGGCAAACTTTATGGTGCTTGACACTGCCCTTTTTGACCCCAACTTCCAGGCCGTCTACGACTCCATCGGTATTCCGCCTCCGGACCTTGCGAATCCCTCACTTGCCCCAACTGCGAACGACAAGGGCGTGCGCCGTTTGCTCGACGATTTGTTGTTTTCCTCGGCACCTCCAAGAGCAGATGCACATGCGTCTCAGGAACTTTTACAAGGCATTGATACTCTACCCGAGGGTGCCCGCAGCGAAGGGAGATCTGTCACCTCAAACAACCAGATAACCACGAGAACACTACCGGAAGAAAGCAGGCTCGCCGATGTTGATCCACAAATGTCATATGCAAAAAAATTACACTCCCTCTATCCGTCATTCATCAACGACGTCGACTCGCTTCCAACGAACAACGCATTCACTCGATACGTAGATTTGTACTTCCAGTACTACAGCCCGCATCTCCCATTCCTGCAGCGAACAGCCTTTGATATCTGGGCTGTGGACCCCGCATTGGCAGTCGCAGTAGCATCCACCGGAGCATTATATGCGGCCGACCACGAAACTGCATTCTACTTGCACTGCATCTCGAAGCGCCTATTGAAGCATTTTGAAGAAGAGACGGCTTATTCGGAATCCAAGACTCCGCTGGAGCTCATTCAAGCTCGGCTTTTGAACATGATATTCGCGGCATGGAGCGGAGACGCACGAGGCTTCAAGTACGCGAATGTTTTGCAAGGCTCAGTCGCCGAGGTAAATTCTTCAAGACATTGCTGTTGCACATTGTGATTATTGGCTAATCAATTGTCGCAAAAGGACGCCAAGTGGCTGCTGAGAAATGCTGAGAGGGACGCGATCAAGTTGAGAGACTCGTCACAAAAACATCATGCATATGAGGATATCAAAAGGTAGGTGCCAGCCATTTTTTACATGCATACAAGCTGACATTTCTAGGCTTTTCTTTTCCGTTTACCTGATATCTGCCGCGTTTAGTTCGTCTCTGGGATACAATCCTTTCCTATTCAACCACGACTGCTTGTCAGTTGAACTGCCATCTTCAGAAGATGCATGGGCCCAAGACCGGACCCACACCGACGATGTTTCATCAACAGCATCAAAGGGCTCCATGACACTGGGACAGGCCCTTTCCCTACTTTCCAAAGGGCAACAGTTTGACTTTAGTCCTTTCCAGTTACGGATCTTGATCACTGCTCTCTACGTCGAATGCTGGCAAGGGGCTAGCCATTCATACAGGAGTCCAGATGATGACCACGGCAGCTGGAAGAATAACATACATCGAATGCTCCGCACATGGGATACATGTTTTCATTCAAGACCTGACAAACTCCCAAGTCCGATACTGGATGGCCCCCAGCTCGACGTGTCTCCGCTCAAGCTCGACTCGCTGGCCTTGTATCACCACATCAGTGTCGAGCTTGTCTATCCTCTCCGCACCTTGAGCCACCAACTCGGCGAGCTTGATACAGCACCAGAAGCCACCGCTCGCGCCATGTGGAGTTTAAGAAACCGGTTCCCTCGATCGTCAGAGATGACTCATGTTATGAAATACTGCGTGGAGGCACTTCGGGTCCCTTTTGAGAAAGGGCCGCAGTACACTGCACGAATCGGCCCGCCCTACTGGAGCGCTGAGCACGTCCCGCTTGTTTCAATACTTTGTGCTCTTCTGTGTCTCTGGACAAGTCGCTTCAACGAACCCCAGGCACCTGCTGCGGATGAGTCGGAGGAGGCCATCGTAACGCAGCTCATCAATATGCTGCGTGATGCTGGTTACCGCCCGAAGCTAAGCGATCTTCCTTCCGTACTGGCCGAGGCATGGGGGACGGTGTTGGGTAGCCCCTGTTATGTTTGGAGAAGTACGAAATCCACTAGACAAACGCATGCTGTTTGTAGTGTTTACTAACTGTGCTGCAGCTGGTCCGGCTTATTCCAAAATATTCAAGTCATGCCCACAGGCCTTTGCCGACAATGGTACAGGACGCTGTATCAACAACGACAGCCTTTGATATGTCAGTATTCGGGGTAGTACAGATGAAGCAAATCGACATATTAAATGCTCGCCTGTCACAGTTACCCCAAAGACTGAGATAGAAATGCCAGGCTGCAGAGTATTGCAGTTTCCAGTATCCCATGACAAACCCCGGAGGGATGAGGCCAGCGATGGCATCAGTTCAAGCTATCTGCAGATTAAAACAGACAGATTCAGTCAAACAAATCAGATCGGCGAATCTTTCAGATCAGTCAGATTAGATCTAGTTATTCTTTGACTGCAAATATCTGAATGCCTTCACAACCCGGAATATATATTATTCCGGGGCCGGACTATATGACTCTGTAATTTTTGATTTTAATATAAGTCTTAATTAGGGGGGCTGAGAGCCTAGCAATAACCCCTGCCTATAGATTCTAGCTCGAATCCCTTAGCTAGGTAATAGCTACAGGCCCCTGCTAGGGGAATTTAGTAGGAATATAAAATCTCTAATTCTACTAACAGCTTCTAAAAAGCTGCTACTACTGCTACTGCTCTTAATACTCTAATAAAGCTATTTCTAGCTCTTAACTGCTTCCTATTATAATATCTAACTCTAAAGCTAATTAATAAGGCTTTATATCATGGCCCAGGTTGAGACTAGGCGGTTACAACTGGCAAAACTATAACTATACCCACTTTTTTACGTTATCCTATATCAGCACAATCAGGGCTCTACCTTCTATAATTACTAGTAATCCGGAATAGATTACTACTAATCCAAACTAGATTACTATTAATTACAACGCCTAGACCTCTAATCGACTCACCGATTAGATATATATAAATAGAACCTTAGGTCCCTTAGATAAGATCTCTAAGCTTCTTAGCTATTAATATACTTAGTTATATTAAATTTACTATTTTACTATTATTAAACTGTAATTTATATTACTTACTATAATGTTTTAATCTACTTAATTATATATTCTATATCTTAGACTTACTTTATACTCTTAGGTTAGATTTAACTATTATATTTTATTATTAATATTTTTATTTTTTTTATATTTTAAGCTTTTTAGCTTTATTAAGTAGGTTAAAGTAGCAATTACTATTAATTTTATAGGCTTTTTAAGTATTTTTAATCTTTTAAATATTATTTAGAAAAGCTAATATTTTATCTTTAAGTTATATTTTAACTAAAAGTATTTTAAGAGTTATTATAGCTAGATTATAACTTATCGGGATTTTTTTTTATAAAGCTAGAACTTAATAATAATATAAAGAGTATTATATAATTTTATAAAATTTATAGCTAATATAATAAGCTATAGTTTTTTATTATATAATTAATATTCTTATTTTTAAGATATCTTTATAAGAAGTATTTTATTTAAGAAAACTTTAATAAAAAAAATATTTCTAATAATTTTAAAACTTTAAGAAATTATAATAGTAAAATAACTAGCTAATTTAATAATAATAAAAGTCTAGATAACTCTAATTTATAATCTAGCTATTAATTATATTATAAATTTAAATCTTCTTTTTTTTATATTTAATAATCTATTTTTAAATATAATACTCTTTTAATTTAATTTTAAATTAACTTAAAATATCTTCTTAAAATATTATACTCTAATAAAAAACCTTAAAAAAGTTTACTAATTAATAAAAGCTACTATTAAAAGTAAGCTAGATAAAGTTATTATATTAATATATATTAGCTTTAATTACTAAATATCTTTAAATTAACTAGTAATAATTATTATTATCCCTTAATAAGAAAACCTAGTATTTAAATTTACTATATTTTTATTATATATATATTATAGTTACTAAAACTTAAGTTTTAAGTTTTAAGCTGCTTTTTTCTTTTCTACTAGAATTCTATTTAACTTTTTTAACTCTAACCTTAATAAATAAAGCTAAAATACCTTAAAATCCCCAATGCCTATAATAACCTAAGTTATTTAAATCCCCCTTTCTAGCTAGTATCTTATATAGCTAGTATCTATATTAACTTAATATAATATAATAGCTCCTGGAATTAAAAGTTATATTAAGCCCCGTAATATTCTAGAGGAAAACTTAACTTCTTAAATTAATATTATTAATATTTTTACTAAGTTATAAAATATAGCTATTTCTATTTAGATATATAGAATAAGATTCTACTAAGAATTTAATTTTCTTATCTATTAATTCTATTTTTATTATAAAGAAGCAAATAGTATTTAAAAATAGCTAATATAATTTATTATCTTCTATTTAAATATTATAGATAGTATAATAATAGCTTAAATAGATTTTCTTTCTAAAAAAGCTTAAGAGGAAATTTAGCTTTTATTTTTTTAATTTATTCTTTAATTTTAAGAGAATTTAAGATTATATTAAATATTATTTATATAATATAAATATAATAGATTATTAGTAGTAAGAGCTTTTTAAATAAAATTTATTATATTTAAAATTAGTTATTATAAAATAAGAAATAAGTATTAAAAGAGAAGTTAGCTTTTTAATAATAAAAGATATCTTTTTTATATCTTTTTACTTAAAATAAAATTATTATCTTAAGGTTATTAATTATAAATAGTAAAATTATTAATTATAAATAATAAAATTAAAGTTAAAGAAGTTAAATAAAAGCTTTAAGTAGAGATTAATAAGTAATAATCTTATTATTTAGCTACTATTTTTTTAATATTAAATATAGCTTTTATTATTTATTTCTATTATTTAAGATTATTATATAGCTTTAATTTATTTAATAATATTAAGTAAGACTATAAAAAAAAACTAAATAATAATTATTATTAGCTATTTTTTTAATTAAAATCTTAAGTATTAAATTTAGCTACTAGCTTTATATAGATATTAAGAGGACTATAATAATAAGAATATTATAAGAATATTATAAAAATAATTAAAAAGGTTATTTAAAATTGGGGAATTAAAAGCTAGATTAATATTAGTATATATAATAATATCTTTAATAATATCTATTTATTTAGTAGTATTATATTCTTATTTAAACTTGAGATTTAAGTTTAATAATATTAAATATTAATAAATAAGATACTTTAGCTATATTTTAAATTTTATAGCTAAGGCCTTTTTCTATAAAAATAATATTAATATCTTTAAGTTTAATAGTAATTATTTAAAGTAGCTAGATAATTAAAAATAAGCTCTTATATATTAATAATATAAGAGGCCAATTAAAAAGCTTTATAATATTTTTAAATTTATTAGAGTTTTTTTATAATAAATAGAGGTATTTAAGAAAGTAGATATTAAAAAAGAAATTAGCTAGAAGCTTAAGATTTTCTCTATTAATAAGCTATTAAAAGCTAAGCTTAAATTAAAGTAGAATAATACTACTAAATAGAATTTAATATACTTAATAATTAAAAAGGCCTAAAAGAAGTATATCTAAATTTAAATCTATTTAAATAGTCTAGAACTTAAAAAGCTAGTATCTAAAAAATTTCAATTGAGAATTATTTATATTTTAATAACTAGTAGATTTTTAAAGAGATTTAATAAGCTTTTAAGCTTATTTACTATATAATAATATAAGTAAAAGCTTAAAATAGTAGTTAGTATAGTAAAAAATAGCTATAATTACTTTAAATAAATATTAAATATATTTTTAAATATCTTAAATATCTTAAAAACTTCTATTATAATAAGTTAGCTAATTAAATTATAATATTAATTTAAAAATAAATTTAAGTATAGCTTAATTAATCTATTTAATATTAATATTATTAGTTTTATTAGTATAATAAAACTGCTTTTTTAGAGTATATTAAAATAGCTTATATAAATATTGAAATTATTAATATATAATTAAAAAAGAGAGCTTATATAAGAATATTAATTAATAATATCTAAATTAAGCTTAATTACTATTATACTCTTTTTATAAAATTCTCTTTTTTTACTATAGCTATTATTTTATATTCTAATTATAAATTGCTATTTTTTAAAAAGATATAATTTAACTAAAGTTAGTAACTTATTAATATTAAATAGAATTTTAAAGTTTATTTTAATTATTAATATTAGTATCTTAAAATATCTAAAGATTTTTTTAGCTTATTATTATTTTTAAAATTTTAATAATAGTAATAGAAGCTATAAAAAAAGCTAAATTAATTTAAGTAATAATTTAAAAGCTAGAAGCTTAAGCTATAAAACTCTAATAAAAAAAAAAAAACTCTTATATTACTATAAATTCTATATTAAATAGGCTAATAATTTTATAAGATAGTAAGTAAATAAAAAAGCTAAACTCTCTTAGCTACTATAGCTATTCTAGCTATAGCAGCTAACTATAAGTTAACTACCCTAGTAATAAATTAACCTACTAATAGATTACCCCTACTTATATAATTAATAGACCTACCTATTAACTTTAAATACAAATAAAATAATAACTAAGTATTCTAATTAGTTAATTTAAAGATTTTTTAAATAAAAAAAAAACTAAAGATTTTAAATATTTATAAATTAACCAATAAAATTCTAGTAAAAGCTACTTATTCTAAATATTCTAACTTAGAAGGTTCTATCTGGCTTCTTATTGCTCTAACATTTTAAATAGAAATAAAAAGCTTATTTAGGTCTCTTTTAACTGCTGCTTTTTTTCTCTTTTTCAATTAGCTTAATTGCTGCTTTAGAGCCCTATTTTCCTCCTCTAGCTTTAATACTTTTATCCCTAGAGTATCTAGACCCTTACCCACAGTTCGAAATAGCCATCTTGTAGTTGGGCTATTATAGCTAGGTTGACCTTATAACCGCACCAATAACTGTATATCCCTTAAATAACTAGGGGTTGTAAATAGGTTATTTTCCAACCTCTAATTCAGTCTTAGAGGCGAGGGATCAGCTGATTAGACTGTAATAGTCTGATTGGGGTCATCAATAACAAACCGACTACCCAATGCCTTATTTCAGTCCATTAGCCACAATCCTGACCCTTTCCATCCAGCCTTTACATTAGCTTCCGTCAGGGCGGTATTTCTAGCCTCAAAATAGCACTTTAGGAAGGTCTCTTTCCTTGTTGGGCTGGTATCAACAAGGGGATTGGCTAGAGTTAACGCAGCTCGATATACAGCCTTAATTAGCCCAAAGACTGATATATCAAGAGGCTGAAGAACATAGCTTGTATATGGCGGTAAATAGACCAATTAGATTCAATTGGCTATACAGAGACGCATGAAATCGGGCGTTACGTGTGATCCGTGGCCATCTAATATAAGAAGTCGCTTCTCATTAGGTCTTTCTATCTTTAATCCTAGAATAAAAATCTCTTTTAGCCATTCTAAGCTAATTATATCACTAGTCCAGCCCTTTTCAGATGATATAAAGTTCCAATTAGTCAGATAGTCCATATCCTCTGGAAACCACTGCTGTTATAGGTTTTTACCTTTAAAGATAACTAATAGATTAAGGTACTTTCCAGTTGCGGAAATAGCCTTAAGAATACTAGTCTAATAAAGGCTGCCCGGGTATTTCTTAATAGTTGATTGTAGCTCTAATTGGCCAAGTACAAGCCCGTTAGTTCCGATCCCTTAAAAGATCCCAGTTTCATCCCAATTCCAACAGTTACGCGGAGGGATATTGCAGATACCTAGTTGGTCCAATATATCAAAGAACCTGCTAATAGCATACAGATTGGCCCTATTTATCCTTTTTGAGTCAATTCCCTTGGCTCTGAGTGTTTTTATTTGTGGATTGCGGCTTAAAAACCCGGCTATCCAGCGTTTTCCGAGAGGTCGGTCATCGCCGGCTGCGCCCAAAATGGAAATAACCAACTTCCGGATCTAGGCATGAGTCATAGCCATACCCAGCTTGTCTTGAAGAATAAGCCAATTACAGAGCTCCGTTTCCTGATGTGTAGAAAGCCTTTGCTGCCATTGGTGAGCCTTGTGACGCGTTTCTCTGCCATTGATCCGACTGTATAGGGTTGTATAGGGAATATTGTGATGATTGGCTGCTTTGCGTATTGAGGTGCCTTCAGCAACTTCTTGGATAGCCAATTGAAGGTCATTTTGGGTGTAATTGGGCATGCTGAATAGCCCAAAGAGGTTGAATTGCCCAATAAGGTGTTGTGGAAGGAAGAAACGCGTGTGGTCGGAGACGCGTTGTGGTCAACGCGGCTTAAAGTGGGGTGATCCGTTAGTGGGTTGATCCGTTACTAGGGCACCTGACTTAAGAGAATCTTTAATATTATAAAGCTAATAATTATAAGTTAAAAGTATTACCTTTAAAACTTAATAATTAAGATAATATAGCTACTAAAATATTAAATTAGCAAGAGGGCAGTTGAGATCGGAAATATCAAAGTCTAATAATAATCAAGTTATCGAGGGCCTGGGAATAGCTTTATCGGAGTCCCGTTAGGGAAAGGCTTGACAGATATCTGCAATCAGATCAGTCAATCAGCCGTCGGGCGTCAAATATAGCAGTCAGATCAGATTTAGGGCCAGGATTGATCTGATTGAACTGATTCCATCGCTGGATGAGGGCCATTTTATCGCACTGTGCCCTGTACGATTTGCGTTGCTACAGTTGTCATGAGCATGTGCATAAACTTAGAGAAGCAGCAAGCAGGCTGTTGCCAGAGACCAGTCTATGACTACTCGGGGTGCCTCCTCGTACAACTGCCACAGCTGGGTAGTGCCTTGAACGGATGGTGCTTGGACCTGCTGACATCCCTAAGTCGAGAGGCCGATTGATGATTCGGTGGCAATCAAATCAAAAGTCCTCACCAGGGATCCATTCAAAGACACTGACGTTCTGATTTCCTATGTGTGATATCTGTAATGACGTTCTGACCAAAGCTATTGTCTATCTTTGTGTGGATAACCAACCTCGCCACCGGATTGGGCGGAAGTGATCTTTAACCCATGCATGACCTTGAAAACGTCCCCCACATGCGAACAGGGTCTCTTATTTTACCCCACATTAGGAATTGATTGGTAAGCCACTGTAGTTGGAATTGTCCCTGGAGCGCGGGGTAAAGATAAGCCAGACTGCGGCCTTTGCTAATAGGTATTAGAAGGAGAAAACATTGAAGTATGAAGCGGTAAGAGATTAAGTGAAACCTGATAACATTTATATTCTTTACAAGATGTATTGGATAAAGCATTTTTGTTGGTTTTTTTTTACTGCTGTTTTAACCTCTGGTCCCTACTGTGTGTCTTCGCTGCTAAGGTCTTATACTTCTGGATTGTGTAAAGTATTTTTTAGTTATCGTTTGATTTCAACCCCTCGGCTTAATTAGTTATTCAATGAACTGACTTTTGTATTTAATTTCAAGTCATTTAATGTCAAGTCATTTCACATAGAGTCATTTAATATAGGTCGAATACGTAAACATTTCGTCCCTTAGATTAGAAGAAGAGTAAATTTAGATTCTGCCTTTACCACGCTCAGCGCCTTTCAAGATCCCAAGCAGCATAATCTCAAAGAAGCACTCCTAATGATCGTTTTAAGGCTGTGAATCTCTTCCTTGACCCGCACATGCCGTTGCATCAATCAGGATGAGCCAAGCTAGGCGAGCTTTCAAACCAACTTTACACTAAGCCTCGAATTTCCCCAGTAGGTCCCAACGATTCCACATGTCCCGAGTTTTCTTTCCTAAGAAGTCTTTAAAGAGCCACACATTCATAATCAGTCCCTGGCTTACGTTTGTTTTGAGGAGGGGCTCAAAGGGGGGGCGGAGATGGATAAAGAAATAACTTACACATGGGCAAACCTGCGACAATAAGCGCAGCAGAGAGCCCACCAAGCGTATAGAAGACCTCTTCGGCTCCTTGGTTTGTAACCCAGTCATTGATGAATTTTGAAAACCCATAAAAGAGTAGGTTCTTGGCGCAGCATGCCCATATAAACGACTCGAGGGCTATGCCGGGATATGCGTCACTAAACTCTCACGTCAGTGTCCTGATTAAAGAAAGAACATGGAAGGAGAATTACGAAAGATAGGAGCTTCCTGCTGCATTGCTCACGCAGACTCCAATGGCAGCGAGGCCGTAAAACACGGCTCCAATCGTTGGCCTTGCCTCGGCTTTCACGGCCCATCCCATAAGAAAAAAGCCGAGAGGGGCCATGATGAGGGCAATGATCAACAAGGGGAGACGGAACTCGGGTTCGTATTTGCCGTTGTTGCGACGAGAAATCCAGATAGCAACCATATCATCTGCCCAAACCATGAAGGTACATCCGATGACGGCTCCGACCAAAGCTGTGTAATGGTCAGTATTGTTGTGGCTGTAGTAAGACCTATGACTTACGACCCGCGAACATGAACCCTACTTGAGACGCATCAAGCAGATAGGGTGGCGGAGAGTAAATCTGAGCGAGGGTATATGACACGGCAACCCAAAATGCCTGTCGCACGTTATTGACGTTAAATACTAGAGGGAGCCAGTAGAGTGATACGCACAGTTATCCCAGCCTGCGTGGCAAGTAGAAACCAGGTGACAGGATTCAGGAGAACAAGGAAAAGTCGACAGAGCATGTGTAAGGCCCGACTTGGTTTCGTGTACGTCCCCGTAAAGACAGCGAGACTGGATGAATAGGACTTCTTGACATGTACTGGACCTGCCAATGAAGATTCTTGAACTCTCTCTTCGTGACCAACCTCGAACTTTTCATCTTGGATTCGGGGACTGTCAGGGTGGGCAGAGGTAGCATCTCGAGTGTGACGCTTGTATGTTGTTTCGGGGGCGAAGAAGAACATGAGAACAAGGACAATGACCGAGAAGATGAGATAGATGTAGAGGTTCCAGTGCCAGCCCAATCTGAAGGTTATCTGGCCAGCAATGAGAGGACTCAGATTTGACAGTCCGGCAAGAACGACAGTGGTGGCTGCGATCCAGGTGCCCCGCTCGTGAACGAAGAAGCTAAGATAAAGTATTAAACAACTGCGTGGTCTTGTAAAGGTAAAATATTCAGACAACTCGAAAGTACTTACAGATCGACGATGACTGAAAAGATGACTGATTCAAAGGCAGAGGTGGAGAGACCTTGAATCAATCGACCAGCTCTGAGAACGGCAAAGCTATTTCTCGAAAAACTGGTAATCGCTATGACGACGCCGACAACGTTGATGGCCACGGCAAAGAGGAATTGTGGCCGCTTTCCCCAAATGCGGGAAAGAATGGAAACAGGAACGCTGAGATTGTGTGAGCTGTACTGGATGCGGCAGAAGAGTAGCAAGAGAAACTGGGAACATACCACCAGCATCCTGCCACGAGCAATGCCTCTCCTGTCAATAGCGAGATATCGGCGGTGGACACTCCGATATCCTGAGCGATGACAACTGTGCCCGCAACCAAAAGGGGCCCGTTGACAACGGCACAAATAATTCCACAAATCAGAATTGTGCCCATGGTCATGATCTTCTTCGACTGGGGCCAGTTCTGTTATATGTTAGGGCTGACCGATACAGCATCGACCTAGGGAGGCTCACCAGAGGATCGTTCGGGTCGTCAGAGGGCTGAGGGCTCAGGATGATATGCGAGTACTATCACAGTTAGCTGTCGGGATCGGTATTCACGTGGTTTGGGTGGGTAGTCTCACTCTGCCCTTGGCATGTTTGAGTTGAGACAAGTCGAGTTCGCTTCCGGAGGAATGCTCAGCGCGATCGTCCAGGATAACTGAACCGGGGACGTATCCGCCATGTTTGGGTTCAATGATTCCTTTGGCCATCTTGAAAGAGATCTTTCACGTGGTCTCACGTGGGTGCGGCACAAGTTTTACACAGCAATACACGGAGCAAAGCAATGGGGATCAACAGAGAATAGAGTGTGACAGGAGGAAACGTTGAGTCTGGGGATCATGATGCCCTAAATACACAACCCAGCCCCTATGGTTGCGATTAGTCTGGTTGGTTAGTTGCTCATGCGAGCTGGTCCCAAAACAACCGCAAGCGGGGTTCCTCATTACCCCGGATACTTAACCCGCATTGGCTTGATACGGTTTAGTCTTAACCCCGCCCTAACTCCTAACTACTGTTGGATCCGGTACGGGTAAGTCAAGTAGGGCAATAATGATCAAGATGATGATATTGATGTCTGTTCTTGTAGGATCTGACCTGCTTCCAGGGCCCTGTTTCCGGTGAGGGGTTTTTAGTCAATCTCACACCCCCCTCATGACTAAGACAAGATATTGATGTATCAGGGATTCGGTCTTATCCGGGCCCCTAGTCCGGCACCCGAGGGTCAGTCCAACAACTACTTAGTTTCTTCACCCGCTTGTTGAATATTATTTGTCCATGTGACAGATGCATGTTGCAATACATTGAAGAAGATAGGTCCATGGATCCTTTACATGCGGGGTCCCCAGTCTAGATGCGAACATGCGGCTGATGGCTGTTAGTCTTATGCGCTTCATCATGTGCTGGCCGGAAAGTTTGCAATCACCGCTCGGCACACTTAGGCTTACCATTGAGTTTTCTTCTTGCTTTCCATCATGTATTGACAATAAATCCCATGCATTTGTCGATGTTGACGGGCATCGCGACCTGCAAGTCAGAGTCTGGAACGACAAACAGGTTCTGGCTTTGACATTGTCGAACATAGACCTTGCATTTCCAACCGACAGTTCAGCCAGCAATCGAGAACCCCGGGCTGCCTGTTACAAAGCAGTCTTAGCGTAGCACTTTCTCATCGGCAGAGCGTCACTGAATCTTGGAAACAAGACTTCAAGCCCTCGGCGAAAATATGAAGTTTAAGCTCTTCAGTGATCTCAATTCAATACAGATTAATACGTTTGACATTCGTATAAATACATTCTCGGGTCATGGAAAAGTTTCCAGAAGTGAAAGACGATTTTAAGATTTTAAAGGCGCGAACGCGTTAGAATTGCTTCTGCTCGTGGTCTCTGGCAGCGGAAGTAGATATCAAGGTCCTTTCAAGTTCCCGGCACCCCTTCATACCGCCATAAAGTTGGCCCATTGATTAAACAAGCCAAAGCCATCGCCTTCCTCCACGATACGACGTGGATGTTGCCTGATTTCGCCATCGACAAAACATGGTTCCTTTGTCGTTATTGGCACTTCTATCGGCGACGCCTTGTCAGTGGGTGGTGTTGTTGGGTCCACGAATCGACTCTTGTCGTAGCGCCTTGTTTGCGGGTTTGGACTCGTTGGAGCTGTGAGAACTGTGTCTTTGAGCAAGGATAAACTTTGCTGGACCATATTGACCGCAGCCAAACTCTGTCGCAATGTTGCCTGGGTTTGGCGCAGGGTTTCCCCAAAGAATAAGCGGCTCCAGGAGCTTCCAATTCTTCCTGCTGCTTGGGATTCTAAAGGGCTTTTCTTCTGTGCTTTATCGAGGACATGAGCTGAAAATTCACTCATGGAAACATTGGCACGTGTGCATTCTAAGGCCAGTGCGAGTAGGGAGCGCTGTAGATGCGAACCAAGGGAAGAATCCTTTGAGCTGTGTTGAACCTCGTCCGATTGCCCGGGTGCAGTATTGGGTAGAAGTGGACTTTTCGTAGGCTGGTAATGAGGCCACAGGCTCATGTCGATCTCAGAACCCGCTTGTTTGTAGATCCTTTCGTCGAGAGAGAGTGATGTCTGGCTGGGGCGTGGAACATCTGACTTCGATCCAACATCGTAGCCGGCTGCTTCATGGTTGATAGGATGGGCTAACAGGTGACCTAGTTCCAAGTTTTGTCCAAGATCAGACGGTTGATGAACTGTTGGGAAGATGTTAGTTATCTATATCCAAGACGAGTCACCGTCATACCTCCTTCTCACTCTTTTTCTGGCATGATAGAGTGGTGCAATGAGACACCTAGAGAGCAGAAATGGGGTTCAGGGTGCGGCCATTACTCACAAGTCGACGGCAAAACATGTTCGTGAGAAATGCCTTTCTCGAAATCTTCGCTAAAGTCCATATATACGCTCGATGAATACATGTCTTTCCTGTTCAAAGGTTCTGTTGATGCGTCTTGAGCCAGGTCTTGATGCGTTTCTAAGAAGGCGTTCACTTTATTTGCCGTGTCGGCGTTTCCGAATTTGGCTTGCGATGGATCTGTCGGAGTGGAATTGACATTTGTTTCGGTTGAAGTAGTGTTGGTTGGTAACGGCGGTCTTCTGTGAGGGGGTTACAAACCGGGCACGTTAGCAAGTCTCTACAAGAGGAGTTGATATGGGTGCAAAATTGGACAAGCCATCATGTTCGCTCGTCTCAACAAGTTATTGATAGCTCAAACTAAACCCACCTCCTGTGATAACGCCGAGTGACAATGCACTTTATGTCCCTCTGCTTGCAATTGACGCAGGGAACTTCCTTGTCAATGTCACATTTGACTTTGCAAGCCCTGCAGTGGTCGCAAGCTGTTGCCGCCCTTGGTCGACGACGTTTGATCGTTTTGGGTGCTTCGGCGATGGTTGGTGTCGCTGCTCGATCCTCACGGCTTTTAGATGGTGATGGGATATCTGATGACGCTGCCGGTGTGAGAGGTTTTGCAGCTGGCCGTCTTACTTTCGTCGGATTCTCCATCTCGGAGAGGTTGACTAACTGGGCGTCTGTATCAGTGCAAGTATCTTTTTGGCGGTCCTTTTTCTCCGTTCCGGATTGTTGAGGCCGAGATATCGTATGTACCCTTCGTTTATCGCGGGTGCGGTCCCTCATCACGCTGAAGAAGTTGCCGTATTTTTGAATTATGCTAGTGACTTTGGAGCACCTCCCTCCCCACGAAATGGACACTTCCCCACGCAATGGATACTTCCCCACGAAATAGACATGTCCTCGCGGGATGGATGGAAAACTCTGCGCTTGCGGAAACCCCGGAAGGTGGCTGCGTCTCTCTCAGTAAGGACCCCATAAGTCGGACCCTTTTTCCATGCGGGGGAGGGGCAAACAAACTGAGCTAAATCGTGACTTCGAGGCCTAACATAGTCGGGCTACCCTCTTTGGTGGGAGACCCCACTTGCATGGTAGCAATGTGGAGGCACGATGTTGGGACCGTGAACTTCAATGGGGCAGGTTTCATTAAATATACAAGTAGCAAGATGCTATGGGCAAGACATGTTGAAAACCTCTTTTGAAATACTCGGGGTTGAATCAGTTACACAGGCCTACGTCGCAAATATTGATAATGGGGAAAATTTCGAGTGTAAGTGCCACAGGAGATGGCTCTTCCGAGGGTTTCAGTCATGATTTTGCTCACAACTTGTAAATAGATTCTCATCGTTGGCGCTGGCCCATCAGGCTTGACCTTGGCTTTGCTGTTGGCGAAGCAAGGAATCAAGACTACCGTGGTAGACATGGCACCACACCTCAATTCTGCGCCACGAGCCACGCATTATTCCTGGCCCGCTGTTTATGAGCTGGGTAGAGCCGGTGTTCTAGAAGAGGTTATTCGCGAGGGTTTCGTCAATGACAGGCCCGTGTCTTGGAGAACGCTAGATGGGACCCTCTTGGCTCAGGTGGATATTGAATCCATCCCTAGGGACAAGCGGATGGTGTGCCTGCCGCTCAACCACCTTACGTCGATACTTGAGGCGCACCTCTCTAAAGAGCCCAGTGCCACTGTCCTGTATAGCCATAAAGTCTTGGGAGTCGGACAAGATACTTCCCAGGCCTGGGTTGAAGTGGAGACACCCACTGGGATTCAAGTGTTGAAGGCTGATTACGTGGTGGGATGCGATGGAGCCAACAGCCAGATTCGTCGATCTTTGTTTGGAGATACCGATTTCCCTGGCAGAACATGGGACGAGCAACTTGTTGCCACAAATGTGAAGACCTCCTGGATTTTTGGTGGCTTTCGCTAACCTTTCGAAGGCATACTACGACATGACGAAATCGGGATGGAAGGATGACTCTGCCTTCATCGTCGACCCTGAGCACTGGGGAATGATAGCCAAGATCCGACCCGACGGGTTGCTACGAATTTCCTATGGTGAAGTCCCTGGCTTGAGTAATGAGGAGTATATTGCCAGGCAACCACAAAAGTTCAAAGCCATTCTCCCGGGGAATCCCGATCCAGACAGCTTCCGTGTCGTCAGCATCAGCCCTTACAAAATTCACCAGCGATTGGCAAGAAGTTTACGAGTGGGGAAGATCCTACTGGCGGCTGATGCAGCACACTTGTGCAACCCTTTGTGAGTCTCTTGCATTGATGCTGCCATTCAACATTTCTAATTGACGGATAGCGGAGGCCTGGGCTTGACCGGAGGTCTCGTTGACGTTGGGAATCTGTACGATTGCTTCGTAGGTATTCATCAAGAGCTCGCAGACGACACCATCCTCGACCGTTACAGCGAAGTTAGACTACAAAAGTATCTGGACATTATCGATCCCGTCTCCAGCGAGAATCTCCGACGGTTGACGCAGGACGCCGAGGCTGCTGGCAAGGACCCTCTGTTCCAGAAACTTCGAGATGCCAAGTCTGATCCGTCCCTCAGTGCGAAGTTGAACGAGGTTGGTAACCATGTAACAGATCCGGGATCGAACAGAACTTGCTAACCTTTCTTCTAGGGTCTTTGGAGTATTATGCACGACTTCCGCAAAGAGTACAAGACTCCAGCTACTGTGGGACGCACTGGTTGACGGGGACTACGGCTCAGGCCCGCAACAGCGTCTTGGTTTGGGCCTTGATAGCATAGCGAGAGAGTAGAGAAGACACAATGTATTTTCCCGTAAACTTGACTCCCTCAGGTAGGGATGCCTCATCGTTGACTTCCTTGTGAGCTGCAAAGATAACCAGGAGGCACCGTCCTGACACCACACAAACCAACGAGCTCTGGATTACAAGATTGCGTCTTTGTGAACCGCTTGATCCTACTGGCCCTCCACATTACTGACCTTTGCGAGACCGAACGACGCGATATTTCGTGAAAATACTGGCGCCTGTTATTCTTCGATATCTTGGAGCTCCATTTCGATTTTAGCGGATGGAGTATGTTCAATAGCCCACAACTTAAATGATGGTATTATCGTGGCGAGAGCATGTTGATAATGAAGCAAGTGCATTATGATTACACGAAAACCGCCGATGGAACGCAGTGTTGGGTCTATTTAACATTTATCTTGGTTAATAACCGTTTAATATCTCCCTGTGCTCACCCACTCCTCTAGCATCCAAGCCATCTCATGTCTTGTAAGTAGATGCCCGCGAAAGGACCAGGCCCTTCATGACTCTAGCGTCGGAGGCTAATCAACACTTTCACCTGCTGCCTGGCACTCCCTCCTGATCAACTCAGCATGGGCATCGCTTCGTGGTGTGATGGCAATTCGAAAGGGCGACTCTGAATGTGCCAGTGGATCGATGCGTGCATCATCAATCGGTGCGCCAGGGATTTCGGCAAAGTCGTAGCAGTATAAAAGGCGCGAGAATGCAATAAACATGTTTCGCATGCCAACCTGCCATCCGACACATACTCGGCGACCTAAAGACCCAACACGTTAGCTTTGCGCCTACACACGAAAAAGGGCTGCGTACCCATTCCGAAACCAAACTGGCCTTTGAGCACATCGTAAACGTTCTCGTCCATGAAGCGCTCTGGGACAAATCTTTCGTTGTCCTTGAACTCATTTTCGCTGTGTGATATGCCCCAAGCATTCCACGTAAATATGGTCCCCTTTTCGAATTTATAAGGGCCCCACGAATCATCCTCGACGAGCATCCGCGGCATACCCGTCGGAATCATGTTTGGGCGCCATCTGAGTCCTTCTTTGATGACTGCCATGATATAAGGCAGAGATTCATAGTCCTTTTCAAGCTGATTAGCCGTGGAAGGGTAGCAAACGTTTCTCAAGGCACTTACGTCAAAACTAGGTAGCCTTTCGGCCGCGGAACCGCAGACACTATCCAGCTCAGCCTGGGCCTTCTTTACCCATTCAGGGAATTTCGCTGCCGCCGCGATCACGTTGTTTATCTGGTTTCTTGTGGTGTCGGAACCCGCTTCGATCAACGTGCCCGCTGGTTTGAGAGGCGAGGTCAGTATTCATTCAGGGCTCGTGTCTGAAGGGCTTCACGGAGCACTCACCGCAGAAATACTTTTGTGGTTCGTCAAACCCGTAGTCTTTTGCCAGATACAGCAGCTCACGGCTGAAACACTTGGGGTCTTCGCCTGCTCCAATGCGCTTCTCGAGGTCGTCGAAGAATCTTCGATAGGTTCTGCGTCATTGTGTCAGCAGCACGCAGAGACTCGTTTATCAGATGATCAGTGTAACAAACCCTACGGTATCGTTGAAGATCCTTTCAGCCTCCGGGCGGTACCACTGCAGGAACCGAGGAAGGGCTTTAGCGATTACAGGGAAACCGTCGATGAAGCTGGCGGAAGGGGAGTGCTGGAGGGACATGAACTCGTCGATGCTGTGGAACAGGGCTTTAACCATATCTTCGCTCATGCTTGTCCTGCGCCCAAAGACACTACACTGTGTTAGCATCTTTTCATGAGAAGAGAGAGAGGATATCGCGGCCCCAATATCGAACGTACACAGACATGATGACTAGAAAGAATTAGCGATCACAATGCGTAAATTGACACATCGTTGATGCTTACCAGAGTTGGAAAATCGTGCCCCGTGAATATAGAAATCAGTTGGTTTCTGAAGATAGTCCCAAAGTAGTTTGCGTGACTCAATGTCTTGATACGGCTTGTATGTGTCGGCCTGGAGTTTGCTCGTCAGAACAAACAGCCGCTATGCGTGGCGCATATCTCTCACATGCTTGGCTGTCAAGAGCTGATGCATAATTCTGCGCAACTTGCGCCATCGCTCACCATGCTCCATGATGATAACTCGATTCCCCCCAGAGAGGATATCTTGGGTGACAGGGAAGTACGGTCGACTGATGTACAGCCTGCCGCGCTGGTCGAGCAGCTCCTTGGTAGCTGCGAAACTATTCAAGACAACCCATCGTTGCTGACCCATGAATATGGAGAACCTGGCGTGCGTATCAGCAGATGTCGATATTGGCCGATTCGATGAGTGCCCTCACATGTCGCCATAATCTTTCCCCCATTCGGCAAATTTATGACCCATATTGGTCTTTGGGAGTTGTGGTGCATTTCCGAATAGCCAATGCCCCTTTGGCCCGGGCGGGTAGTGATAGGATGTTGTTTTCGATCTTATGCGACGAAGTGCATAGAGAACCCCGATAAGAAGTGGGTAAATGATCAAAGAAAAAGGCACATTGCTCAGGAGACCCATGGTAGAGACGGAGCCGGGGTCCGAGTTTACAAACTTGGAAGCCGTGCAGAACGTGGTCGTAGGAACAATTTGAAAGAACTTATGGCTGGTGGTATGTACAGTCGAAATAAAAACGAAGAAAGCAAAGTGAACAAAGGACCTGCTCACGCTGGTTTCAACACAAGGGCGTAACATAATCCGTGCAGAATGGCTCACATGCGGGGTGTGGGGGAGGGGGCTTTGCGGGGGCAGAGGGTGAGCCTCTCCTCTTTGCCATTAGGTTTATTGGCTAGCCCCTATTTGATACCTGGGTCGAGCGAAAGGTCAAGGATTTCTGTGCTCGGGTCTCACGGTATTGCATGAACAAGCAGCTGGTCAAGATGATTCTGTATTGGAGGACCAACGGGACGGCGGTAGGGATTGGGCCACGTGTAGGTTTTCGAACTAAAGATTCTTATAAGCTGTGGCATCGCATTTTGCGCGCAGATCAAATCAACGGTGCGAGGCAGATGGATTATTCTAGAGGCCATGATTTAAAGAAACCCCCCAGGCTAATGTCACTTTCTTGTTGGTGGTCACACAAGTTAGAGTCGCCTGAGCATTTCGCTCACGGCACATGATATTCTGATTTTAAGCAGCATGACTACTGCCGAACTATGGCGTTCAATTAAGAAGTACAGGCCGTTAGTATTCGTGCTCATCAACCAAAGGGCCTTGCGCCCAATACACGTTTCTGCCCTTCGTCAATTGAAGCGGACAATTCTTTGCCCATCCATGACGGCCGACTTGTCTCCAGCGCATCCTCAATCTCGATGATTTCGTTTCCCGCAACGAAGAAGCATTTGCCATGCACCTCTGGTCGGAGGATCGGAAACAGCAAGGCGTGGCCAACACCTTCGGGACTGTTGCAGGGCAAGGATTCCCAAACCTTCTTGAGCAAGTCCGGGGCCATTGGAGTCACTGTTGGTCAGCCAGGTTTCATCTTCCATGCTCTGCAGTGAAACGGCATTTCTTGCCCTGTACTTACTGGTCATCCATGGCGCCACGACGTTGATCGTAATGCCCTGCTTGGGTAGGTCGTGCCTCAGAGATCGCATCATACCGACCAATCCTGCTTTGGCTGCTGAATACAGGTGCAGAGGAGGAGAGTCCAGAAACGCCGCCGCCGAAGACGTGATGATGATTTGGCACTGACTGTTCTGGCGTTTGGCGAAGTAATAGGTGGCGCAGTTGACCGCGTAAATGTGTCCGATGATATTGATCTGCAATCCCTCGAGAGAGGGTGGCTTGAGCTTATCAGTGACGGGGTCAACGTTGTGCTCCAGAAGGCTTTCTCCCCAGTTTACTCCTGCATTGGAGATGACTGCGTCAATGACTCCAAACGTCTTGAAGCCATGATCAAAGACCTCGACCATGTCATTCCAGTCAGCGACGTTGGTTTTGCGAAACGCCAACCGCCCTTGTTGCCTGCCGTGACCTTGTAACTCCTCCACGAGGCCATTCAGCTCTTTCTCGTTCCAATCTGCTAGAATGAGGTTCGCTCCATTTTCTGCCATAGTCAGCCAAGAACCGTCACTGGACGTTGTCTGGAGATGGCCATACTGTACGCAGTCATGGCCGTGGCACGGCCGATTCCTGAAGAGCAGCCCGTCAAGAGGATCGTCTTCCCACGCAGCTGAGATAACTCCGCTGTGTTGAACGAGACGGCCGTCATTTTCACTGATCATGCCAACAGTATGGTCAAAGGAGCGAATTTTCTGCGGCTCGTTTCGCGATCCGTCGGATTGCCCTCTCAGCAACGGCCCTTCAAGTTAATTCCAAGGGCAGCCTTTTTGTTTCTTTCATCCCCGTCTGGTAGCAAGACCCCACACACATCGTGGGATGGGGCTTCTCATCGCCATCACGGCCTAAGGAATTGATGTGGAGGTGGGGAACACGCATGACTTGGTGCCAGTCTTCCTGAGAGATGGCAGAGTGGACAATTTCCTTCTCATGAGATCATCACCAGTATTCCAGATTAATTCCCTTCAAGTTTACGATTATGTCATGGCAATACAGTACACTCTTTGTTGAGATGCATCTTTTCCACATACATGCCAGCAGGGGAAGAATCACGAGGCAATGCAGCAGCTCGTCATGGGATAATTACCCCGCCTGCCCAAAATTGCCCCGTCTCTTCTAACGACCACAGGATTGTCCCGCTTCGACTTTGTCACCCTGATCTGCACCATTCAATCATTGATCCAAGGCAGTTAAAACTGGGGCGGGATGATGATGATCCTGGCATGGTTCCCGCCGCAATGGCCTTGCAGGTACTGCTCTTCACTTCAACCTTCCCCACATAAGGAGAAGCTTGTCGTATTTATGCGTATTAATACTCCAATTCTCCTGAGGTGGCTCTTGAATCGTCTCGGACAGGATTTGTCATTCTTTGAACTGCCGTCGTCACCAACGCTATGCCCCTCGTAAAGCTTTCAAACGGCCAGTCGGATTACTACGAGGTTGACGATTACACGGACCCATGGAACCGCGATGAGAGCGATATTGTCATCTTCCAGCCAGGGATACTGAGGCATACAGACTTCACATTTCATCTTGTTCCTTTAATGTGCCGACATGTGCGATTCATACGTCGAGACCTCCGGGGACATGGACGGAGTTGGACGTCCGATGTCCCTGGCTACCATTACACCCTTGACACATTGGTGGACGAAATGGCAGAATTCATCGACAAGGTGGCGGGCCGTCCAGTGCATTGGATTGGAGAAAGCACGGCTGGGATGGTGAGCATTGCCTTGGCGGCCAAATATCCCAGCAAGTTGAAGTCTCTCATCGTCATGTCATCGCCGCTCGTGTTAAAGTAAGCCACTTTGTAGAAAGGGGGGATGAAAACTCAAGGTTTTGCTAACACAGAAACAGCGATGCGTTCAAGACGATGGTATCCCGGCCGTATTCGAGTCAAGCCGAAGCAATGCGCAAAATGGGTCTTGTTGAATGGCAGAGGTCGCGACCTGTGTCCAAATTGAGCGCCGATCCAAACGCAAGAAGCACCAACGAGATGGGTACATTTTCCGGCCCTGGTTATCTGAAATGGTACGATGAGATGTTGGCCAAGCACAACCTCGAGGGAGTGGCTTCGTACTGCCACTTTATTGCGAACGTGGATGTCACCAGCCATGTGGAGAACATCATTGTTCCGACTTTGATATTGGCCCCGCGGAATAGCATGGCCAGTCCCATAAGCGTGAATCAGGAGATGGCTGCAAAGATAAAGGGATCATGTCTGGTTATCATTGATAGCGTTGGACACATGTTGTATATAGATGAGCCCGAGAAGACGTGCGATGCGATTCTCAAGTGGGTCAGAGACTTACGAAAGTAATTGCACCGCCAATTGACCTGCCCTTACGCGACGCCGACCATGTACTTGGTGTAAAGAAGTAGGGTGAATATTTCACGCAAAGCCGTAGTATTACTGCCTCGCTGGCGAGGGTGGTATTCGGTCAAGACTTCCTGCTGTTACTCATGGCGGTACAGACCCTTTGGAAGAACGACTACACCCATCACCTATGAAGAACAGGGCAAAGGTGCACACAACTGCTGGATTTATTTGATAGACGCTTGGAATATCTGCAACTTGACAAGACTTGTTTTTGCTATCTGATCCACGTAGACAGTACGCGCGAACTCTCCTCACACCTTCATCCCCGCGTCTGGCATCGTGCCTCCATCGTTTAGCAAGCCCCCGAGAAAGTCTACTTTCAACTCATACAGCCCCTGCTCACGCACATGGTCACCCATGCTCACGACGTAGCCAATATCCTGTTCGCAGTCAAAGTACTTTCCCTTGAGAGCGGTTCCTCGCCCGGAAGCGAGGAACACGCAAGTCTGTCCACACAGCGCAGGCTCGCACTTGAACTGCGCACAGAAGCTCTCGTACGCCGCTGCAACTTTGGGGTAGGCTGCTGCAATGTCGCTGGGGAGGCTCTTCTGTATGCCCGTCTTGGTTGCTCCCGGGTGGAGAGAGTAGATCTCAATGTCGTCAAAGCCGTCCATGTCGAGCTCGAATTGGATACAGCCATTTGCGCGTACGAGCGCGGCCTTTGCGGCGGCATAGTTTGCGCTGAAGGGAAGGTTAACCGTGGCGGATCGCGAGGCGATGTTGATGATTCTTCCATGTCCACGAGCCCGGAACGCAGGTAGCAGCATATGCGTCCAAAGCATAGGCTGCAGCACACCTCCTTGGTTACTAGCTTTCTCACGGGTTGTGGTTTAGGCTGCTTACGGCTTTGAAGTTTAGGTCAACCATGGCCCAGAACTGGTCAAACGTCTCCATGTGGACTGGGCGGTCGATGGTTCTGTGACAGTGTTAGCCAGCGCGTGCCAGGGATTACACTCGGATCATATCTAGTACCCTCCGGCATTGTTGACGAGGACGTCGATTTCTCCAAGATCCTCTCGGATCTGTTCCCATGTCTTCCTCGACTGCTCAACATCCATCACGTTGCAAAAGTATGCCTTGGCCTGGGCCCCGAACGCTGTGCACTGCTCCATCGTGGTGTGCAGCGCCGAAACAGCCTGCTCCAAATCTATCAGGGCGAGTTTAGCACCAGCTTGGGCAAAGGCCAGGCTTTCTCCACGTCCAAGACCTCCACCGGCACCGGTTATGGCGACGACACGCCCATCGAGGGTTCCTCTCAAGGCGTCGGGACTAATGGCGGCGTAGGGCGTGGTGTGAAGAGTGGGCTTTCGTATCTCAGGCATGATGTTTGTTTGATTCAGGTGCGGCGTGATGGTAAATGGAGACTGGATGATGTTGAGCTGGATTATAAGCCCTAATGAAGAATCATTTCAATCAGTCTTGACACAAGCTTGCTATGGGTAGGCTGGAAATGAATGTATGCGGGGAGTTCGAGTCTGTGACGTATTGTGGGATCCCCTCCCCCGCATTGCATTCGTGTCCCGCATGTGAGAGTTGTTGGATCCGATACGGCTGAATTCGAGACTGGGTGATGGCGTTCAATACTGATGTTGATTGCCTTGATCTCGGATCGCCCGGCCCCCTCTTTCCTCGAGAGGGGTCGTCTAGTCGTCTAACTTAGGTTAGGATATCGGTGTATGAGAGGTTTATGCAAAACTGGCGTAGTCAATCCCGCCACATGAGGGGTCCGTCCAGCAAGAGCTGGCCGTGAGGTCGCTTCGGAGTTGTCCCGGAATCGAACCCTTAGGATAGATAGTCTTGCCCACCCACATTAAATGTCCTCTCTTCCATTTTATGAAACCTCATCCCGCCATCTTGGTTGTCAGAGTTACACGCTGTGGCCTGCAATTAGTCGCACAAGTTTTCATAATCCCCAACCAAAAGAACCATGTCTGACAACGAGATTATCCTTGATACTTCCATCTTTGCCAACCTCAAAGGCAAGACTGTCGTCTTTACTGGCGGCGCAAGCGGCATCGGACGGGAAGCCGTCACCATCTTCGCCAACGCCGGAGCCAACATCACTTTTGGCGACATCGACAACGTCGGTGGCGCCAAGCTGGCCACTGAACTGGGAGGGTATGCTTCTTGAATCAATTCATTTAATTTCCATCACAGTTGACATGAACTACAGACACGTCCGCTACAAAAAAACAGACGTAACCAGTTTCCAGTCACTTAAAGACCTCTTCGCAGCTGCGACTGAGGCTCATGGCCCACTGGACATTGTTTGTGCCAACGCGGGCATTCATGAGCATGAGGACTGGCTTTCGGAGGAATATCTTGAAAAAGACTGCGCTTGGCGTGCAACCCAAGTCAACTTCATTGGCGTGTTGAACAGTGAGTCTAAGCCATTCCATCAAGCCCTGCCAGGCTCTCCCAGCTCTGCACAGTTTTGTTCAGTCTTTGACAAAATCTCAGCCATCAAACTCGCTCTTTTATCTTTCAAGCGGTCCGGCAAGCCAGGTTCGATAGTCATGACCGCCTCTGCGGCAGGATACATGGATAGCTCGCCGGTTTGCTATTACGCAGGGACCAAGCATGCCGTCGTCGGTCTCCTCCGTTCCTTCGCTACTATTACGCCAGTCTACGACACTCGTATCAATTTAATCGCGCCGTGGATGACCAATACTCCGTTTGCTGGGGACGAAGTTCTGAAACGATGGGAAGGGTTACCCATGAACAAGCCGGAAACGTGTGCACAAGCCATTGTCTTTGCTGCCATCAATCCCGAATTGCACGGCTGTGGTATCTGGGTCGGAGGAGATAGACTCTTTGAGGTTGAAAAGGGATATCTTCGTACTAGACCGCAATGGCTCGGCCAGGAGATGTCGGATAACTTCCAGGAAGGCTGGGAACGCCTTTCAGCACCCTTTGGTAAAAATGGTGCATTGAGCACCCTGCATTAATCTACCAGGTAGAAACTTCATCAATACATGGCTAAATGAAAAACACGATCTGATCCGAGTGTCCAAATTAACCGAGTTGGGGGAGACTAAACAACACATGCCCTCAGTGCTATTTGCTGTCGTATTAAGCCCTACAAAAGAGGAGGATGAGATAATGCCGTTGCCATTGTCGGTTATGTAACCTACAGGAATTTGTCAGGTGCACAACTGATTCTCAGCCGATACAAGACTGGGTAAAGGTCCCACGTATGTTTTGCGGGGTCCTCAAATCGAACTGAAATTCATGTGGGGTATTTTGTCCCATGCACTCACCATCGTGAGACAAGCCATTAACGTACCTGCGGCAACTTCAGGGCGATTCAGTGGGGGCGGGGCTGTCTGATCCATCTTTTGATGATTCAGCGGGCGCCCAATGTATGATCTTGGGCCTGAAGTTATATGACTGCTTCAGCAAGTGGCAGACTCTTGAAGTCTCACAAAGTCCAGACGCCAGCCGAGCAACGTCATATCCAAACACGCCCATCATGTCTACGCTTCTCCCCATCAGCAACATTTTAGGCGAAGGTTCCCTCGCTATTCGTTCTCTCATGATCATCGGCGTACTGGCCATATTAACGCTGGTGTTTACCACCTTTGGCGATTCACGGAGGAAGAAGCTGCCGCCAGGTCCACCAGGTCTCCCTCTATTGGGCAACTTTCTGGACCTGGCGGATTCTGAAAAAGTCCGCACCAAGGTAGCCAGCTGGGCTCAGAAATATGGAGGCCTCGTCTATACTCGGATTGCGGAAGTCGACTACATATGGCTCTCTTCCCCAAACACGGTCAAGGACCTGATGGACAAGAAGTCGTCCATTTACTCGTCTCGTCCCAGGATGCCTTTCGCCATGGATGTTGCCAGTGGCGGGAAGCGCCAGCTTCTGATGCCATACAGCAATGAATGGCGGAATATTCGGAAATACAGCCACCAACTTCTGAATATGAATGCTTCCAAGGCATACCAGCCGGTACAAGACTACGAGTCCTTGCAGATGATGCACGACATGATGACCAACCCGGCCGAGTTCTACAGGCATAACCAGCGCTACTCGGCCAGTGTTATCATGACAATCGCATACGGTATTCGGGTGCCCACATTCGACAGCCCCATAGCAAAAGATATCTACGTCGTCCTTGATCACTTGACCGAGATGACAGCTCCTGGTAGCCACGCTGTGGATTCGATGCCATCCCTGCGATACTTACCCCAACAACTCCTGGGGAATTGGCGTACGAAAGGGCAAAAGTTTTACGAGCATGATTCGGGCGTTTACCTTTCGATGTGGAACAGTCTGAAGAAGAGCGTAGACGGGGGAAGTTGTGAGCCTTGCTTTTGCCGTGACTTTTACCTCAGTGATCCTGCCAAGCATGGCATCGATGATTTGTCTGCGGCATATATCTGCGGTGGTTTGGTACGTGGCCCTCATCCAATGCATTGCTACTGTCTCCTTGCACTGAACTGATAACCTGGCACTCTAGGTCGAGGCCGGATCCGAGACAACAGCTTCTTCCCTGAACAATTTTCTGCTCGCCTTATGTCAATACCCAAACGTTGTCTGGAAAGCCCAAGAGGAGCTCGACCGTGTCGTGGGAAACACACGAATGCCCAATTGGGACGACGAAGCAGACCTCCCCTATATCCGGGCCATCATCAAGGAACTCTTGAGGTGGAGGCCCGTAAACAAGTTTGGCATGTTCCACTCGGTGACAGAGGATGATTGGTACAAGGGACAATTTATCCCCAAAGACAGCGTCGTTGTTCTCAATTGGTGGTACGTGGTTCTTTGGCCTTGCAAAATGGAAAAGCTGTGTTTGCTAAACATCTACTTTAGGGCCATTCACTACGACCCCAAACGATATCCAGAGCCTGAGAAATTCAAGCCGGAGCGCTACCTCGACTTCAAGCTTTCGGCAGTAGATGCTATCAATGTCAAGGACCCGTTGGACCGGGATCACTTCTCGTACGGTGCAGGACGCCGTGTTTGTCCTGGCGTTCACGTGGCCGAGCGTTCCCTTTTTATCAACATCGCTAGGTTTTTATGGGGATTCAACATCTCCAAGAAACTTGACGCCCAGGGAAATCCTATTGAGCCGGACGATGGAATGGTGAGGGGTCTGCTAAGCGTCCCGAACCCCTTTGAGTGTGATATTCGGCCACGGACAACTCAGCATGCCACAATGATTGCACATGAGTTCCGAGCAGCAACGGAAAAACGGCAAGCTTGATTTAGGGTACCTTTTGCTGTATCCAATTATTCATCACGTCAAAATAGCCTGAAAGATATGAGGTACTTTAAAGCATCTGCGCGGAATTATTTATCCCCGTTAAGAATTTGGTGCTTATATTTACTATGAAGAAGAGGAAAAGGCTGTCTGCTCTATCCAGAGGTAAGTTGCTGCTACCACGATGTCAAAAAAACACAGTGTTTTTCTCCACAATTTTAGCATTTTAACACCCAATGCTTCCACGGTTGGACTCTGAAGACATCATTCAGCACGAGGATCTATCCTAGAAAACCAAGATCACAATTCTCTCCTCTTCATCAACTCTGTTCGTCGGTTCGATACTCTCGTCTCGGTAGCTTATTATTCAACCGATTTCAATCATGCTGCTCATGGTTCACCATTGTCGATGAACTTCAACAGATCTACCGGTACCCTTTGGAGGTAGGTAGATCATAGTATGATTTGAGCAAATGAAAGCACACAGGCTCTAGGATTCATTCTAGGACTGGAATAATTAGATTGCAATCGGCTTTTCACTCCCCTGAGCGGAGCGGTTGTGTTTGTCATGTCCCCTCATTCCCAAAATTTGATGAAACCCCGCCTTTAACACATGCATCACCCCCCTTGCCTAGCTCAGTAGACTACCCAAGGGCATGTGATGAGGGCTCGGATCTTTGCGGTAAGCTGGTCACCCATTCTGACCCCGCATTCGTTCTGAGTGCTTGTGCGAGTATGAGCCACATGACCATACCAAGTGGCAAAGATACTTAGCAAGACCCTACAGCTAATCTATAAACGGAGACTAAATACCCAGCCATCAGACGACCGGATCCATTCACCCATTACCTTTAAACAGAGGCGATTTTGTTTTTCCCCTCCTACCCATACCAGCTGACATGTCTGTCATTGCGCTTGTTGGAGCTGGTGGCAACTTGGGGAGATACGTCCTCTTTGGCCTGAAAAACTCACCTTACAATTTTGAGATACGTACGTTATCTCGCAAGTCGACACCACCAAAAGGCAGTGACTCCAAGCACCACCTCCAAGTTGATTTCAACAATGAAGAGCAACTGAAAGAGACCCTGAGGGGATGCGAATTCCTGATCAATTGCATGGGCACCTCTGGTGATTACCACAGTTCAAAGATGGCTCTCGTCCATGCAGCCGCCGCTGTAGGGGTTTTTGGGTATATCACCAGGTGAGAGAAGAAGAAGCGACTGTTGGGATATAAAAGGACGGCTACTTACAAATTTCAGTGACTTTGGGGTGGACTATAATACTCCTAGCGTCCACTTTGATCACCCTGTCTGGCTGGAAAAGAAACAACACGTCGAGTATGCGAAAAGCATAGGCCTACGCACCCTAGCAATCTGGTGAGTGTCAGCATATCCATGGATCTGCCTCACGCGGCTTGAAACGTCAGCAATAGAGGCTAACAGGTGGCAGCCCCGGATTGTTCCTGGAGGAACCGTTCGGTGCCTTCGGCCCCTGGCATGGGTTTGATCACAATTCGAAATCCTTCATCGTGGCAGGGACTGGAAAGCAGCACATTTCAGTGACTAGCAAGCTGGACATCGGAGCTGCCGTCGCACGCGTGTGCCACCTCGTGCTCAGTACCGAGGCCAAGTCGAATCACTCGCAGACTCAACCACTACTCAACAAGGATTACATCAGAATCAGTGGTCACGCTGTCACACCTTATCAAGTCGTTGACGTGGCGAATGACAACAGCAAGAGTGAGGATGGGAAAAGCGGCGACCAGGGGGAAAATTGGAAAGTGCAGGCACTCACCAGCGAAGAACAGTGCCAAAGCTTCCAGTCCTCGATGATGGTCATCGCCATGAACGAGGAAGCGGAATCAGTTCTGGATCAAGACGGTGGGTTTGACCCCGAAATGGCGAGTCAAATTGCTGGGCGAGTCTTCCGCGCTGTGGGCGACGGCACGTTGCATTTTGCTGAGAATGACAACGAACTTCTCAACCCGGGCCAGCAGTACTGGAAATGGACGCAACTGACCGACTTTGAGCAAGACACAAAGCCTAAAGCGTTGTGGTAAGCTGCAGTGAAACAAGCAGCTGGATCAATTAGTATTGTGAGACTTCAGAATTGTAATCTTCATTCACTCCAGGCTCAAGTCTGCCAAACCCCAAGTGATTTAATCCAGACGTATAATCAACGACGCAATATCAGTCACCAACGAGGCGGGTTCGGTTCAGGGGAAAGGGTTTCCTTGCTATCCTCCAGGTAGCCTCACCCCGCATCAGGAGCCATGAGGGGGTGGAATACTTGCTTAGCAAGTCTTGTCAACCAATTTTAACAACGGAGCCTACGAGAGGCAACTGTAGATGCCCTCCAAAAACTGTGGATTCAGGGAAAGCGATTCTTTGTACAGTAGTCATATCAAGCATAATGAAGTCATTTGGGTATGCCGGCGCGGCAGAATGAGTCAAGACTCTCATCGGGCCAGCCGTCATCTTCGACCGAGTGATTTTCAACGAAGCAACCATGCATCCGCAAACTTCAGTGGCCAACAGTTGACTCCACATGAGGAGTTCATTAAATGGGCATTCGAGTGCCATGGAGCCTCTCATGGCAAACCCCATGGTTACTCAAGCATACATTCCATGCGGGGGAGGGGGCGGAGGGTCCTAGTTGGGTTTAGGCGCTCATCTCCTTAGTTATCTCAGTACTTTAGGTCGCGATGGGATATGTACTGCGGACTAGCAGCGGGCTCGCGCGGTGGCCTCGGGTCCGGTTTCCTGCTCAATGTCGACAGGTGGAAATGGTGAACTGGTTGCTGTGACGGTCAAGGTTCACAATATAGTAAACCGTAATTTGATTGGTTTATATTGGCAGTTAGAACGGGGCGTAATATACTAAGCGTAGGATAGTAAATTATATCTAATAATATTAAGAAATATTCTTAAATAATAAAATTATATTAAAAGCTAGAGAGCTATCTAAATATAAAAAGTAGAAATAAATAAAGCTATATATACTATTCTAATTTGCTTAGTTAATTATAGTTAAATACACTCTTATTCGACCTGTTCGACTATTTAAGGTTAAGGTTTTACTTTTGATCGAACGTGGTCGAACGAGCTCCCGGTCGACCAGTTCGACCACATACCACTTCCACCGGGGTCTGTTTGTTCCATTCCGAGCCCCGCCGTTTCCCGTTCGTACCCAGTTGATCTCCCTGGCTCGTAACATATAGGTGCAGCTAGATAACTTAACCTGCAGTTAAGTCATTACTTTCCCTTTTACCTCAGCGGCTAGGGAACTGCTGCTATACAGGAAGGTCGTAGTGCTAGCTGCTACTTTAGCCCCTCTGGGGCCAACCCCTTATAATATCTTACTGATCGGCTCACTTATCATATACGTTACCTAAATATCTTTACTATTTTTACAATAAAAACGCAATCATATCAGAAATCTCCCTAGCGTAGCTGCCAATTCAGCTTCCACTCGCAATAAGGAGCAGCGTGGTGAACCCATAAGAGCTCACCGCAGTAATCCCGCTTCTGTTTAGCAGCGGAATAGCGCAGCAACCTCCTGCTCAAATAAGCCTAGCGACTTTAACCACTATCATAGAAATGGCCGATGTTGTTCGCTCTTGTTAAATTAAAACCTCAGCAGAAACCGGACTCTCCCCTTTTCCACGACCAGCTCCTGCTTTGGCTTCGTTTGGCAAAGTAGTTGAGAGGAGCCTCGAGGAGAAAAATGTTATAGCGCTGGGGACTATCGCCGGGGCTGCTCGGCTCTGGATTGTGACTATGGCTAAGTCGGAAGATGCGAGTTCAAGTACTGACTCCATATTCAGCAGCTGAGTCAGCCAGACTGTAACAGGCTGTGCTTATAGGTGGCCTCGGGAACCCTCGGCCTTTTATAGCCCGCTTTTTATCTTTAAGCTACTATAATAAGTATATTAATAGATAGAACTTTTCTACTTTTTTTTCTTTTTTTTCTTTTTTTCAAATTTAGTATATTTTATAAATTTAGCTAGTTATAATATATTATTTTAAGACTATTATATAAGTATATTATTTTTATAGTTTTTTTATAAAATTTTATAAAAGTTTATATATTTTATTATTTAAATATAGAAAATTTAAATATAATATTTATATAATTATTTTTAGTTTATTTATATTTTTATTATATTTTTATTTTTCTATTTAATTTTATTTTTATTTTAATAGTAAATATAATAAATATATTAAATATACTTATTATAATAGCTTAAAGATAAAAAATAAGCTATAAAAAACTGAGAATTTTTAAGACTATCTATAGATATAGCTTATTATAAAATAGTATTAAATAATAATAAATAGTAACTTTTACCTTTAATATATTTAATAAGATAAAATTATATAAATATTATATTAAGATTTTCTATACTTTAAAGATACTATATATAAATTTTGATTAGTTTTTATAAAAAAACTATAAAAATATACTAAATTTTATTTCTTAATATTTTATAGTAATTAATAAGAGAGTATAATTAAAAAGATAGTAAATTATATTAAATTTATAGTATCTATAAATTTAAAATTTTATAAATACTATAAAAATAACTAAATATAAGTTTTATATCTAAGAATATTTTATTATAAATAATAGCTTAAAGAAATAGTAAGAATAATATTTAGAACCTTTTAAAATCTTATTTTTTTTATAACTTTTAAAATAAGATTTTAATAAGAAGATTAAAATAATAAAAATAGAAATTTAACTTAAATTTATAAAACTTAGTAATTATATAGTTAAAAAAGTTATTAAAATTATAACTTAAATAGTATAAGAATTATTATAAATTTAAAACTAGCTTATTTAAGTTTATAATAAGTTAGAGTAAATCTAGCTATAGCTAAATATTATAAATAATACTTATATAATATAATTATCTTATTAAATATATATAAATACTATTAAAATAATATCTATTAATATTACTACTTAAGCTTTATTTATAATTTAATTAATAACTTTAAAATTAATATTTTATATAATAAATATATTTAAAATACTTAATAATTATATTAAAGATTATATACTAGTAGTATTTTATAAAATTATTAAATAAAAAATATAAATATTTAAATACTAATTTACTTAATAATATATTATAATAACTAAAAATAAATAAAATATCTATTATTTAAGAATTATTAATAAAATTAAAAAAGAATTTAAAAAAATTAAAATTATTATTAAAGCTAAAAAAGCTTTAAATATAAGAGTTTTTTAAAATTAATTATATTTAATTAAAGTTAATAATATTAATTATATTACTATTTTTAATTAAAATAATAAGATTTTTTTTAAAGTAATAAAAATTTTAAATTAAAAAAATAAAGTTTAAATTTTTAAATTAGTATTTTTATATAATAAGAATTAAATATATATAAAATATATTATTAAAAACTATTATTATAATAAATACTAAATATAAATACTTAAATATTTAGTTTTTTTTTTAGCTTTACTTAATATTATTAAATAAATTAAAGCTATATAATAATCTTAAATAGTAAAAATAAATAATAAGAGTTATATTTAATATTAAAAAAAATAATAACTAAATAATAAAATTATTACTTATTAATCTCTACTTAAAGCTTTTATTTAACCCCTCTAACTTTAATTCTATTATTTATAATTAACAATCTTACTATTTATAATTAATAACCTTAAAATAATAATCTTATTTTAAGTAATAAAATATAAAAGAAATTAATATCTTTTATTATTAAAAAACTAACTTCCCTTTTAATACTTATTCTATCTTAATAAATTTTATTTAAATAACTTATTATTATATTAACTGCTATTAATTATAAAACTCTTATTATATATATTCCTATATATTAAAATTTTAAATTTAAATTTTAATATAATATAAAATTCTATTAAAATCTTTAAGATAAAAGGAAAAGATATAAGCTAAATAACTATTTAAAATTCCTTAAAAAAAAAAACCTCTTAAATCTCTTACTATACTACTTAAAATACCTAAATAAAAACTAAAAAATTATATTAGCTATTTTTAAATATAATCTATTTTTTAATTATAAAAATAAAAATAATTTATAGAAAAGTTAAACTATTAATATTAATATTATATTTATCTAAATAGAAATAGATATATTATATAATCTAGCTAATAATATTAAAAATACCAACAATAATAGAAGCTAAAAGTTCTTTATAGAAATTAGCTATAAAAAATATAACCCTAATTCTAGAAGTTATTATACTGCGTCGGGCTGATATGGATACTAGCCATCTAGGATGCTGGCTGGAGGGGGGATTTAAATAACTTGGATCTCGGGGTATTAGGTCGGGTTGTGGGAGTTTTTAGTGTATTTATTAAGGTTAGAGTTGAAAAAGTTAGATAGGATTTTAGTAGAGAAGAAAAAAGCAGCTTAAAACCTAAAATTTAAGCTTTAGTAACTATAATATATATATAATAAAAATACAGTAAATTTAAATACTAAGTTTTCTTATTAAGGGAAATACTTAAGTATATATTCTATAATAGATTATATAAGTTATTTAATAAAAGCTATTTAAAACTCTATTTTAAGTAATATAAATAAGATTTTTTAAATATTTTAATTAAATATAAAAAAATAGAATATAATATATAAAAGTCTAATAAATAATAAGTAACTTTAAGATTTTATAGTTATAGTAATTTAAGAATTATAAATATAAAAAAGAAATAGTAAATTATTAATAACTTTTATAGGAAATTTTAAATAGATTAAATTATACTACTTATCCTATCTGACGTATCTTTTAACTTTCTGGAGTTGGTGTATTATAAATCTCCTACGAGCGGAGCCGGGGATAGTCGTTCGACGGGAACCGGGAAGAGTCCGCGTCCGTGTTTAACTGATACCAGACCAAAATTCCGCCTTCTTTCCCGAGGGCCTAGGAACATCAACCCGAAGTCCATTGGGATCTCGTATTCGTCTTATATTACAAATCCATCTGAGATCTTTTTCCTATAAGTTTCCGCGCTTGACTGTTCAGAGCTACCCAAAGAAAGGACACATTTGTCCCCTTTTTCATCAAGTCCTTTAAGCTCGACTAAGCATTCCTAAAACATGCCAGAGAATCTTACCATCCTGATTACAGGCGCTAGCAGAGGTAAATATTGAAACGCATCTCGTCCACTACCGAGTAGACGCCATTTGTAACCAACCCCCTCCTCTCCCCGGAGTGCTAAACATACAGCAGGTATTGGCAAGGGCCTTGCAGCAGCGTACCTCGCTGCCCCAGGAAATACGGTCATCGCATCTGTTCGTGATCCAGTCCATCCGAATCTGCAGGCTCTCCGGAACCTTCCCTGTGGTCCAAGGAGCTCCCTGGTCATCGCACAAATTGATAGCGGCAACGAGCGAAGCATACAGGACGCCATTCAAAATTTGCATGCTCCCAGACTGGACGTGGTGATATCCAACGCAGGCGTTAACGAGAGCTTCGACCGCCTGGTCGACACGACCACGTCCATACTGGACAAACATATACACGTTAACGCTTACGGCCCACTCTGGCTGTTCCAGCAGACACTTCCACTTCTGAGTAAATCATCCGCACCGAGATTTGTTGTTGTATCCAGTGGTGCTGGGTCGACCTCGATTCTGGATCAAATGGAAGAGCAGCCGATGGGGGCCTATGGTGCGTCAAAGTCACTGGTCAACCATTTAATCAAGCGCCTTTCGGTCGAGGTGAAAGATGTGATCATCTGGCTTGTGAACCCAGGGTAAGTATCCATCTCCAGATTATTCTCAAACTACGATTAATCATCACGTACTCTTTCAGGTGCGTGGAAACCGATATGGTGAAGAATGTTCGCGAACATATGCAAATCCCAGAGTCCATCACCATCGAGGAAAGCGTCGCGGGGATCATGAAAATGGTAAACCCATACTTATAAGCAGGTGAATCGCGATACCAGAGACATGATTAACATCGCAATAGATAGGCGAAGCCACTCAGGAAACCAGCGGGCAATTCCTCGACTACGATGGGGCGAATATGCCCTGGTGAGTACACAACGGTGCGCATTCTCTCGCCGTGGTATGATAAGGTTTGAGAGTGGGTGTTGTATGAGGGGCGCTATCTCGTTTGATGATTTACCACCAGTGGGCGTGGCATAGTATCGTGGTAAAAGTCCTAACGCTACGTTACATCACAATAAAGGATATATTATAGGCGATCCAGAGGATTCAAGAATTCATTAGTACGTGAGATGAAGGGTTTTGTCCCATAAAGGTAATACCGAGGATCTAGGCAAGTCTGGCCTGTAAGACAAGCCATGAGTTGATGTGATACCTGGACAATGAGTCTTCTGGCAAATTGCCGGGGGCGTGACTACCGCCTGGTTTACTGATTTGAAATTCGAGTACAACGCGAGGGAATGAATTTCTGTGGTGTAACAAGAACGGAATTCCCCTCAACTTGTCAGGGTAGCCTCGAGCCCCTGAATCGGAAGTCTCCGCCGCGGCCGCCCTGGTGACCTGGCCTATTCAGGAGGAGATAGATTGATGTGTCAGCTTAGAGCGGAGAAGTAGGTAAAACGACGGGGCATGGATGGTTTGGCAAGATAAATAACACAAACTCCGCGTACTCAGGTACCGGTAGCCTCGGGTCGGCCTTGGAGTCCGGAAGCGAGACCGAGCACCACCACCCACCTGATCATCAGGAAGCCGAATACTTAAAATACCTCATAATATCCTCAAATTCTCCATGCTCAAGTCCCTCAGACTCTTATTATGACTCTTTGTTGAAGTTGTATTCAGCCTCATCGGCAGCCGGTAGGCAGACTGCGTACACAAGGAGAGGTTTCATGGTGCAGAAGGGCTGCAGCGACCGCGATTAGGATGGGGGGTTCATCGTAACAGTGATGTGTTGGCTGCTTCCCTTCGATCCATCTACTGAAGATGTAAAATGAGCAAATAAAAAGACGGTGAAGCCATGTTTTTCGGGCTCGATGCGGAAACTCCCACATGCACCGTGGTTAACACAGGACGTCAGCTTAGCCGCGGCTTTCTGCCGAATACACACATTTAATGATGCCGAATTACGTCCGGACTGGCTACATGCGCGGAGGTTTCATTGCTTCGAGAAGTGAGGTTGAACGAGGAGTTCGGCAGACCACAATGGAGCAAGACGTCCATTTGCCGTGCTTCCCCGCCCAAAGTAGTTCTCTTATCGGGAAGCATCTACCGATACGAATTGCCGAAGTCGATGCTGGGGTCTTGTGGCTGAAATTCGTCGTAACCTCATGCAGCTTCCAAAGAGCCAACAACGCCATCACTACCTCAAATTATGAGTTTACCGCCGAAAAGTCGCCCTCTAACATGAAGGCAAGAAGACAAGCGTGAGATGACACTGGTATGCCAGTCTGCCTAGAGTCCAGATGTACCTGTGCCAGGATCATGAAGCAGACATGTAAGCTGAGAAGCGGGAAAGCAGGGAAAGGGGTGATACTAAAATGTCCTAGGTTGTCAAAGGTCTCTTCGTACCGTCCGAGACCCCGAGAGAAGGGGACGAAACCATGCTAGACATCCCAGCCATAGCATTTGTAAGCTTCAATGTACGCTTATCGGAGAGCATTGGTTACCTGGATTTCCTAATTCCAGCGACAGCAGATCACAACGCCTTCTCCTATTGCCGTCATCGCATTACGAGGAAACCTCCATAATTTGTCACTAATCCCTCATCACCATAACGCCGAATCCCGGGAACGTAGTGCCCATATTTGGGGCTTATGGAATTATACTTGTATGTAGGAATCTTTCCATTTTGTACTATCCACTAACTAGATTTTACAGTAACTACAGCCACGGCGCCGACTCATTTTATTGTGAATTTAAACATGCAGTAGCGTAAGAAGGTTTCAACTGGATACCATCGGCTTTGAGCTGGGAATGGAGGCGCGGAGACCGCCATCCCTCGATAAGTGGTCACCGCGCGTTACCTGCTCTGAGATACAGGGGAACGGCTAAGCGGGACCAATTTCCCGTCGGTACTAATAGTGAGGCAGCGGAGTCCGTGAATGACCCACCCGAAGGGTGGGGGGCTGTTAGACTATTCACAAAAGTTGCGGAGATTTCCGTTTTCGGCATGCAGGATTCAGTCCAGCGCGTATCCTGATTTCAAATTCTCAATTAGAGGATGGCCGGCAATTTTCTAGAAGGCTCATTAAATACCGAAGCACATGGTGCTATGTCCACCTTGGGTGACCGTCGACCTGGAATGGTGAACGTTACGGGTTGAGGAGGTTACCGCGGACAAGCGGTGTCGTGTAACCTCGTCTGTTATTTCAAGTTTGTACTGCTTGGCAAATCTAAGAAGCAGCATCGTAAAACATCCCATATTTTTGTCTACGTGGCATTTGATAACACCCTCAGTGTAATTGGACCAAATGTTGCGCAGCTTGTAGCTTCGGAAGACGGGTGCCAAGTGCAAGTCCAAACTCCGCTCCGCAACGGTCCTTGTCGGCGTGACAAGCGTGTTGTATAATGGGAGCGTTAATTTTCATGGTCAGGTTGTTACACCGAGGCACTCCGGCATTGAACCTTAGGGAGCGTGGTAAGTAATGGGTATAAATACGGATATCTTCCTGACAACGGTGACAGATTCGTCAAAGGAAAGTTTAGGCCACCAGGACACTACATAAACTCAACACCTTTTGCGCATTTACAATGAAGGTAGCCATCGTCGGCGCTGCTGGAGAGACCGGTAGCTGCATTGTTAATGCTCTCCTCCAGTCTAACATCTCGGAATTAGTACAGTCTCTCCCCTTTTTGCATTTACCCTACCTCTCTTCGGTTCTGACTTTTGTATCGTCTAGAATATCACAGCCTTAACGCGCCCCGCTTCTTTGGGAAAGCCAGAGGTTGAAGAACTCAGGAAGAAGGGCGTCAGCGTTGTTGCTGCCGACCTCGTTGGCTCTGAAGACCAACTTGTGAAGATTCTTAGTGGCACGGATGTCTTAATTTCGACCGTCTCCGTGACTGGATTACTGGACCAAATTCCCCTCGCAGATGCGGCCAAGGTAGCAGGAGTCAAGCGTTTTGTTCCCTGTTTCTTCGCTACCATTGCACCTCCTAAGGGCGTCTTGGATTTACGGTACTTGGTAAGAGCCTTTGACCAGACAGACTGCTCGGATGTTCGGAATTTAAAAACTAACTATGGAATAGAAAGAAGAAATCCTGCTGCATGTGAAGAAGATTCATCTTCCTTACACTGTCATAGATGTTGGCTGGTGGTATCAGCTCAGCCTTCCTCGCCTTCCATCTGGACGTATTGACTACGCCGTAACTATGCCGGTGGAATATATCGCTGGAGACGGAAATGCTCCTTCCGCCCTTACGGATATGAGGGATGTTGGCAACTATACTGCACGCATCATAAGGGACCCTAGGACTCTGAACAAAATGGTTCTTGTCTATGGTGAGGTTCTCTCTCAGAATCAAGTCTTTGACCTGCTGGAGAACCTTAGTGGAGAGCAGCTTGAGCGACACTACGTAAGTAATTCATCAACACCCGTGGTCGGGAATCTACCTAATAGAACTACCCTAGAGGACCGCGGACGACCTAAAAGTTGCCATTTCAAAGCCATTGTCTCATGACTGGTTTCGCAATGCCCTCGACCATCGGGAGACGGTCATCTCTCAGTATTGGAATTCTATGGGGATTCGTGGAGAAAACACGCCGGAATTTGCCCATTTTCTCGGCTACCTTGATGGCAAAAACCTATATCCAGATTTCGAGGGAATCTCATTGGAGACATGCTGTAGAGAAATCCTTGAAGGGAAGGCTGCCGGGGTGTATCTGAATAGGTGGTAAGCTTTTTTCTAGGCTTAGGCTGGAGTTCAGGAGATAGATAAGGGAGTGATAGAGGACGAGCTCTATTCTCAAATTTATCTCGTTCTGTTACTATCCTCTCTTAAGATATAGATATAGAAAGTAGAACAGCTATAGCACATTAATAAATTTCCCGTCCTATAATCTGTTTTCTCCAAGATGAGAACTGGGCATCCCTGCCTAAGTCTGAGTATACTACCTCCAGCTTCTATCTAGTTTGAGCCTCTATCCCCTCTCTAAGCACTATTCAGCGGACTCTATATTAGGATTCCCCTAGGGTTACTATACAAAATATCCTGATAGCCCAAGCATTAGATAGAATTTCCACTTATACTGAGTTCTACCCCTTATACAGTCTGTCCTTTTCAGTTAAATAACACTTTTGCGCCTGCTACAGGGACTCCTATTAGGTAGCTGATAGCATTCAGTTTAGGTGAAATAATAACAGAAATTAAGGGGTAGAGGTAGAGAAGGGCTAGCAGGGATGTGTTATGCTCTTAATTAGCTTAAAATAGCTTATAATGAGTATCGGAAGAAGTAAAACCAGATATAAAATAAACTCCCTAAGCGCTAAAAGCACTAAAGTCTGCTACTGCTACTAGAGATAAAGATAAAAGGGGGGGGAGATAATAGGGGGAGATAATAGGGGGAGATAATAGAGTGATAGAAAGAGAGAAGAAAGAGAAAAAAGCCTTTTATCTTTTTCCTCTTTTTCTCTTTACCTTTCTTCTCTATACACACTAAGCCCTATTAATTATTAACAGCTAGTTATAGCAGCAGATAATTTTCCCTATAACTCAGACTACTGTATTATAGTCTGCCGGCAATATACAACCTATCTTATTTCTAAGGAAGCAGGCCGAAAGAGCTATCTGTAGGCAGCACCTTACTAGATAACTGAAGAGGTACTATATAATACTAAAAGGTTCTAGCTACTGTAAGGCCTGTGTTTAGCTTCTTGGAGTAATAGGTCTCCTTATCTCCTAAGTAAGAATTATAAGTGCTATAAGTGTTCCAGATGGGCTTAATACCGGCCCTATCTCTGATGTTAAAGTTCGCAACCCCAGAACCGACTTTGATAATAATGCTGCATCCTTCATAACCTGTAGTGGATACGCTAAATGCACTTATACGTGGTGTAAGAGTGTTATTAAGCATATAGCGCAAATCCAAATAGCACGGCCCGCTTATATTCAGGCGGGGGAGGAACTCGCCCGGTTCTAGCAGACGACTTTACGTTAGCTCTTCTATCCAAATTTATCCAATCATGGGATGACATTAATGAAGTAAAACCCACCAGGTTCAGGAACCTTCACATCATCAATTTTAATAAAAACGCCTGCACCTTCGTCGACTACTACAGCGGCCCTACATATAGTTGGGATGCTCATAGTTGATGTTTGCGGCTGTTTTTTCACCGACTTGGATTGACGATTGCATGACCAGTTCCAAAGGACCTTAGTAATATAGGACCTTTTGGATACAATAATGACCGCTTGCAAGCCGGTGTCCGCGTTCTCAAAATGATTGTTGCCTATGAAGGGCGGCGATATTCCTCTCGGCCTCCGTAAGATTCGGTGTCCGCTTGTGAGCGGGGTCGGCATCCGCCTGTTAAATCGGCATCCGCGCACCTTTCTCGGCATGACGGTAACTACATTCCGGACACTCCGGAAGACCGATCGTGGTGCAATTGATTCCTGCGTGGAAACAGGGGTATTGGATGTTGCCCGTGTGAAACGTGGTGCCATCGAGGTCGGGGGTCACCGGCATAACACACAGTATCCTCGCCATTGTGTGTATCGGTATCACTCTGGATATGTGGCCCATAACTTGAAACGTTTTAGTCCAGACCGGGTCTGCTTTAACCTAGATTGCGCCATCCATCGAATTAACTAAGTTATCGAATTTCATCTCTTTTGTTTCAAGGTGGCTTTCCCGAGCACACTACCGAGCTCTCACACCTGAACAGGTTGTGGTGTGTTAGTTATAAGCCTCTGGCCCATACTCAAGAAAGCCTCAATTGCTACTGGAGGGTGATCTGAAAGGAACATACATTCCCGCATATCGGAAGGGCTGACCGAAAACTGGAGCATAGGGTACGATCTCTGGCCTGTATGTATGCCTGGATATTAATATCTAAGCAAGGACTCCAAGAATTACCAACGTATGTACCAATGGATGAAAAGAGTATTTCAATCTCCTATCTCAACTCAGAGCAAAGTTAGATTGACTGTAGGCTCGGAAAATTCTTTTCTGATCTCCTCAGTCACGCCAGACATGTCGCACAAGTCCTTGTCGAATATGAAATCAGACCGGGGAACCCAGCTTCCATCGATGCCATTGCGCGCGAGACTACAACCGTCCCTAATAAACCGATACCAACGGGCTTCAAAGTGTGGGCTGTGGCCCAACGAGGCTATTTACTGAGGTGGATTTGGCACAGATCGGGCCGCAAGTTCGGGCCCGTAGGGGTCCGGCCGGCTCGCCGGTACGTATTTTCACAGCTACGGGAGACCCGACAGCGGATGCAAGGGAGGAAGACTATCTATCTGAACCCGACCCAAGCCGTGGTTGTTTGCCCTAGTAAATCTGCTGCCAGATTCCACATACCACGTATTTCTTGATAACCTATTCTCTTCCAACGACCTTTTTCGCCGGCTCCGTCAATTGGGTCACGGGCCCACAGGCACAGCCCGCCGTAGCTGTGGTATCTACATATCCCTCGTTAAGCTAAAGGCTGCGGATAACACGGCTGCCGGCAGCCTCGAATTCAACGCTCTCAAAGCCGTCCTAACGGTAGATAACAAGGTCAGTCAGGAAGAAACAGTTATGTTGTATTTCCCTACAAATTTGTCTTCCGCTAGGTCAATGAGATCGTATGAAAAGAAAACGCCCTCGTGCTATTCCTATCAACCGCGATTACAGGCGATGAAAGGAGTGACCGCCACAGCAAGAGGCCGACAACAGACTAAATCCAAGCACGGCCAATACAGCGGTTTTTCGGCGATAACCCCATCAAAATGATTTATATCCCATCCATCGCTGCTGCTTACAACAACGAGATGAACGCAGTAGACCGCGGCGACCAGCTACGTGCCTATTGGGGCCCTAACCGCCGTGTGCGTAGGGCGGCTGGAAGACCCTTGCTTGGGACTTTCTATCAGAAATAGCCCTTATCAATAGCTTCCTTTACGGCAACGAGGGCAGCCACAGTGGAAGCCGGAGGTATCATAAGGCAGTTGGCGGCAACGCCTTGTTAATGGCCTCGTTGCAGCGTACGCAGCAGAAAGTCAGTCACGTCAGAGGTTTCGGGCTGGAGACAAATTTACGCCCGTCTCACAGCACAATTGGGTCCGAAATAAGAATCCGTCGGAATGTCAAGCTTGTAGGAACGTACGGCTAGGCGAGGGTCGGCCGCGTCAGCCGTTGCAAGCAGCCAGCGGCAACAGCTGCCGAGCCGTATGGAAATCGCGGTATCGGTGCAAGGAGTGTGATGTAGCTCTTTGTAGATCGGGAAATTTCTGGGACTTCTATCACCATATAAAATATGTGGGGGTGGAGGTACCTTTCATTTGCTTTACTCTCGTTGGCTGGACCCCATTGTACGCAAGCGAAGTGTTGCCTTACCGCACTCTATGGGATAACTACGGTCCTGACGGCCCTCAGTTAGGCTGAAATCAGGAGCTTCTACACACATTTCAATGCACCCTTCCTATTAGATGCAGCAGTCTTGAATCCAATGCTTCCCCTCGTGACTGTTCCCCGATCATCAATGCTGACCAAGAGTAGAGAGTCAGGCGATGTTGATGGAACTCGCCCTCTAAGAATGTAGCTTTATTCGTCGGAACGGACGGCCGAGCTCCATCTTATAAATCAGCATCCTCGAAAGCATGCTTGGTAATATACAGTATTGCTCTAAGTATTTAACACACATGCCTCACGAAATTACCATAATCATTTCGAGCTCATATCAAGATGAACAGGGGATGCCTTATAATCCACTTTTTAGAATTTTCAGCTTTCAATTAAACCAGTGTTAGATCGTGACCTCGGGTGGCGGTATAAATGTCGCCATCAAAGATAAAAGTTGCTATCGCACCAGACGACTACGGCAAAAGTGGAATAAACACTCCGCTAATGCGTAGTATAATAATAGCCTATACTGGATATAATATACCCCCCTAGATTAGCAATAATAGAGGTAATCTATAGCTGCTATAACTCTACTATATAGCGCTTATTTCTGCTAAGATTCTATAGCTTTATTTATACTGGTATACTGATGTTTATATAGCTGACTGTAGCTAATTATAGATCCAATTTTAATAGAATTTGAACTTATAACCTCTCTAGTTATTATAGAAGGAGCCTATTCTAGCTATAATAGTAATTTTCAGTAGAAGTTACAGGATATTATCCTCCCGGGCTTATAACTATTATACCAGATAATTACGGCAAAAGTGGAATAAATACTCTGCTAATATATAGTATAATAATAGCCTATACTGGATGTGACAGTTGCCACCTATTGCCACAGGCTTAGCAAGCAGCTTCTAGTTGATTCCATATAGCTTAGAAAAGGCATAAAAAGCCTGCTCTGAACCTTAAGGAAAAGGGAAGAAGAATCTGAATTGATATTACTTGATCAATCAGTTCTGCTATTGCATATAGCAAATTGCGTATCTAACAACCAGTTAAACCACTGCGAACAAGTTCCAATTATTAAGCCGCAGAGCACATAGACCCAAATTTGCGCCTCGTGCGGACTCCGCACTGCGGAGGCCATGGGAACCCGAGACCCCGAATCTGGACCCCGAGACCACGCGAGAGCGACGAGAAACCTAGAGAATGAGACCAATTCGAGAATAATCGGAGGAGCTGATTGCCGAATGTATGATCTACCGCCAAGGAGACACCATGAAGAATGAAGAATAAATACAGTTACCTCGTCGTCTAACACTGCCACAAAGCTAACATGAGAAGCCAAGCTTGATCACCGATATTACATTGAAAATAAAGGTAGCAATTGCTGGAGCAGCTGGAGAAACCGACACGATTATTGTGAATGGTCTTCTGGCGTCAAACTCGACGAAATTTGTATTATACATCATCTCTCGACTTCCGTCAGTATAATGCTAATATATCCAATAGGAAGTGACAGCTCTTACTCGGCCGTCTTCGCTGCAGAAGCCAGAGGTTCTTGAGCTCAAGCGGAAAGGCGTTCATGTGGTTTCTGCCGATTTTGATGGCCCCGATGATCAGCTTGCAAAGCTCCTGACGGGAATCGACGTGCTGATCGCGACTATTAACGCGACTGGAAATGAGCCAGATACAGCTCGCAAATGCTGCCAAAGCTGCAGGCGTTAAACGTTTCGTGCCGTGTTTCTTCGCGACAGTTGCGCCTCCTAAAGGAATGCTACGGGTGTATATGAACGTATGAGGGGTGTTGTCGCCGAAGCCCAATCCCACACCCAAGAGGAGTAGCACCAGTTGTGTGAGGTGGGTTCTCTTCTCAAGCAAGTCCAGTATGCTTAGCAGAGCTTGGGTTGAGTGAGCGAATGAGAAGGATCAAGGCAATGGCTTCTCTGAACCTTCTCGGTGTCTGGGCCATGGGAGGTAAGGATTTTGGTCGGCAATGGAAATGTGTGCTTCAGAATCCAATTTTCTTTTTTTTTAAAAAAAAAAAAAATCCATTCAGTTAACAATTAGAGCAGTGAATACAGTTCCAGCAACGGTTCCACATTGAATAGCATAACCCGTAAACGGACTGGAGGACATCAACTGCGAGCTTGTGACGACCTGCTGCATGAAAGTCTCTGCATGGGAAACACGACCCCGGAATCAGACAACATCACAGTTAAACTCCTCCGAGCTGTGTGGCATATCGTTGGAACACATATCCGCCGCCTATGCGAAGGATGTTTTTCTAGGTCACCACCCGAAACCCTTTCGGGTAGCAGAGGTTATCATGATTGCTGTGCATTACAACACGGAGAAAATGATGATATTGAGGGGCCAAATAGGCTATTGCAATTAATGATAGTTACGGCCCTAATTCGGCTGCTATCACCGACTCCGTTCGTAATGCTGATGATGTCTCTGTCTCAAGCCCCCGCCGCCCATGCCCCCAGCGCGGCCTCCGCTGCTGTTCTAACCTGCGCCGCCCGTGGCCCCCCAGCGCGGCCTCCGCCACCACACTATTCCTGTATGGGAACACCACCAGGCGGCAGTTGGCTAGTGTGACAAACGACACGAGCAAATGACTGATGGGATTTTAAGAAGCCCTATTCCAGCCGGTATAATATCGAAGTGTGAGTCGTCGCCTCATAGCTAAGTTCTCCTCTTCTTAACGCCTCCCTCATACAATCCTGCTCTTTGGTCTCTGAAGCATCCAAACAACCCCTACTCTAGTCATCATGCCGTTCGGAATCATCGATGTGCGCACCGACGTGCCGCTCACCGGGACGGAGCTTCTCATTCGTCATGATCGACCGGAAGGCATTGCAGATGGCGACAGTAATCAGAGGCAGCTGAAGCGCGTTATGCACAGAGTATGCCGCCTTCCCAGTCAGGAGACCCCGATCTCCTCCTAGTCTAGCAAGCAGGAATGACTAACAATACCTCTTCTAGGGAATCGAGATTATCCTTATTCCACAACCATCGGACAATGATCCCAACGACCCTCTAGTGAGATATTCCCATGTGCCCCTTTTTGATAGCATTAAAGGAGGAAACCTAACGGGAGTACTACAGCTTTGGCCAAGATGGAAGAAGGAAACAGCCTTCGCTGTACTATTTATGAATAACATCATCTTCGCAGCCGTGCCGGCTCCACTTCTGGCGGCTGCAACATACGCTGTGTCCGTTATTCTGAACGTGTCCATAACCAAAGTATCTCAACTTTCGGGCTACCAGCTGCTCATTGTAGCTGTCATAGGGTTTGTTATCCTCCCCTCCCTGGGAATAACTTCATTGCAAGCCTCTCCGGTGGTAAAAGCTCACAAATGTACAATCCATTAGCCCCCTTGTCTCCGTCTTTGCCCAAAAGTACGGCAAGCGACTGCAGTTTCTGCTGGCTGCGATTGCCGGCACCCTGGGGACAGTCGTCTGCATAATCGGCTCCCAGAAGATGAGCTACAGCACCCTACTTGCAGGCCGCATGATCCAAGGCTTGGGAAGCACCGCCTGGGAGAGCTTGTCGCTTGCGGCCATAGGCGACATGTTCTACCTGCACGAGCGCGGCTTCCGTACCGCCTTGACCGTCGCCACGCTAACCTGTTCGACCTCTCTCGTCTCCATCATTGCGGGTGTGCTGACGGAGCGATGTGGCTGGAAAGCTGTCTTCATTGCCGTCCTGCCCTTCAATGCTGTCGGTTTGCTCGGCGCCATCTTCTTCCTACCTGAAACCCAGTACCGGAGATCGCTCCCGGCTGCAACGGATGGAGCAGATGCCAGCTTCGCAAACCCCACAAAATCGAATGGGCAAGAGGTTTCCATCATCCACAACGAACAGGCGCAGACGACCAAGGCAATGGTTGGGTACTGGGGGGGCCTGATGGCTTGGTCGGGGACCTACTCGGACAGGTCGATCCTGATCCTCCTGGGTGAGATCTTTATCCACCTGATCAACCCGGCCGTCATCTGGATCTTGCTGGTCAGCGGGGTCATCATCTCGCTGTACGTGGGCACAGCGTACATCACGGCACAGATCTGGACACCGCCCCCCTACCTCCTCACCGTCTCCCAGAACGGCTATTTCTACGCCGGCAGCTTCATCGGCGGTGTTCTGGCTACTGTGGCGGGGCCCATCTGCGACTGGATGACGCGGTTACTGTCGCGCCTGAATGGAGGCGTCTTCGAAGCCGAGTTCCGAATCCCCGCCAACATCATTGGAATAATCTTCTCTGCGCTTGGCTGGTTCATGTTCATGTGGGTCGTTGACAACCCACGGCCAGATGGGTATTACCTCGGCGCATTCTTCTACGGTGTGGCGTGCGTTGGGTGCTCGTTCCCGGCGACTGTTGCTTCACTGTACATCCTGTACGCTTCTTCTATTTCTTTCGCCGCCCCTCAAAGTCTTGAGATGCCTTTTCACAGCTGATAATTCAATCCTGCAGTGATTCATTTCCGAAAGATGCGACAGAAATATTCATCCTCCAGATGATGGTCAAGAACTTTATGTTCTACGCCTTTTCCACATTTGTTAACGACTGGGTTGCCCGAGCTGGACCTGGACGGCTTTTCCAGACTTGGGGCATTGTGGCCTGCGCTCTCATTGCTACCTCTATCCCCATGTGTACGTACCTCACATTCTTGTTACATCCTAACGTGGGGTCGATTGAGGTGATGCAAAGGCTATTTATTAACATATCTGTGGCAGATATCTTTGGCAAGGTCAACCGGAAGTTTTATTCTAAGCACAAGATCCTCAAATCCCTTGTCTAGAGATCCTCCGCGAACAATCAACGTTGCCCCGAGGTGGCCAAGGCTAGAAATGTGAAGGAACTTGCGATTATTGGGTCTAGTCCGGGAGGATATAATTTTTGTCAATTTTCTTGATATGCCCCCTGAAGTTCGAACGTCCATTTTATTCGAGGTTTGGGTTTGGTCCCTGGATTGACCCCCTAGGCCTTAGAATCATTAGTGATTCTAGGAAATAGATTGTATCACGGCATCCTTGTGCTCCTTTATATTGGACACGGTAAATGACACAATCAACCCCAGTGGATCTGGAAAGGCGTCATGCGGTATAGAACTGCGCATGAGGATCCCGCCGCCTCCACCTACCGCCATTCCTTCATTGTGCAGTCACAGTTGTTGATGGCTACCTCGATTCGCTTGAAGAGGGCGGGACGGCAGGGACGAAGGAGTCTGTGTAGTCGGTTTGCGTGTGCTTTCGACGACAAAAACCGCTTGATATAAGTAATAAGAAGCTGGAGGTCTACCGCGAGTATTAAGACGCCGTGTCTATGCTAGCAAGCGAGGAAGGCTAGCGGTGGTTCTATGGTAGCAGGGACTTCTAGTGCAGTACTGTAACAGTTATGTCTTCTAGTCTGCTGTAGATATAGTCTAGGGTAGGCAGAAGGCTAGTTGCTATAGATAAACTATAGGTTTATATTAGCAGAGCAGTTAGGATATTACTTATAGAGTAAATATTATATCTAGTAATAGTTAAATATAGTAATATATAGTAAATTAAAGTAATTAAGATAACTAAATTATATTAATAGCTAAATAGCTACTTATAATAAATATATACTATTTAATTATCTATATATTAATATAATTAAATATAATTATTTATATAGTAATTATAATTACTAATAATTAAAGGTAATTATAAAGTAATTATTATAAGTATAATTACTAGTAATTAAAAGTAATTATAAAGTAATTATTATAATTATAATTATTAATAGTTAAAAATAATTATAAAGTAATTATTATAATTATAATTATTAATAATTAAATTATATTTTATTTTAAAAAGCTAAGAAAAGTAAAATTATATTTAAAATTTAATATAAATTATAACTAGCTCTTAATAAGAAAATATAGTATTTAAATTTACTGTATTTTTATTATATATATATTATAGTTATTAAGGCTTAAATTTTAAGTTTTAAGCTGCTTTTTTCTTTTCTATTAAAATTCTATCTAACTTTTTTAATTTATAGCTATTCTAATTTTAATAAATATACTAATAATTTCTATAACCTAACTTAATACCCTAAAATCCCTAATATCTATAATATCTCTTATTTAAATTTCCCTTTTAGCTAGTACTTTAAGTAGCTAGTATTTATACTAGCTTAATATAATATAATAACTTCTTAAATTAAAAGTTATATTAAGCTTTAGTAATATTCTAGAAGAAGACTTAACTTCTTAAATTAAAATTATTAATATTTTTAGCTAAATTATAAAATATAGCTATTTCTATTTAAATATATAAAATAAAATTATAAATAAAAATTTAATTTTTTTATTTATTAATTTTAATTTTATTATTAAAAAGTAAATAATATTTAAAAATAATTAATATAATTTATTAGTTTTTATTTAAATATTATAAATAGTATAGTAATAGCTTAAATAGAATTTTTTTTTTAAATTTTTTGTAAAAGGAAATTTAATTTTTATTTTTTTAATTTATTTTTGAAATTTTCAAAAATTTAAAATTATATTAAAGTTAGAATTTATAATATAAATATAATAGGTTATTTTTAAAAAGAGCTATTTAAGTAAAATTAATTATATTAAAAATTAATTATAATAAAATAAATATTAAAAAAAAGTTAATTTTTTAATAATAGGAAATAGTTAGTTTTTTTTATATTTTATAGCTTAAAATAAAATAATTATTTTAAAATTATTAATTATAAATAATAAAGTTAAAGTTAAAGAAATTAAATAAAAGCTTTAAATAAAAATTAATAAATAATAATCTTATTATTTAATTACTATTTTTTTTAATATTAAATATTGTATTTATTATTTATTTTTATTATTTAAGATTACTATATAGCTTTAATTTATTTAATAATATTAAGTAAAGCTAAAAAAACTAAATAAATTATAATTAAATTATAATATTAATTTTATTATATATACTAATTATATATTTACTTATTTTATTTTATTATATATAAATTATTTTAATTATTAAATAATTATAATACTGAATAAGGCTAGTGATGAGTTTACCAGTATAAACCTAATAATAATAACAAGCCCTTTAAGATAGCAGAGCGAAATTGCAGCAAGGTTTTCATCCTATAGCTAGATAGCTAGAAGGTTTTTCCTCTCTAAATTAGTTAAAGGAGTTTTATAGGCCTAGATATAGGTAAAATAGCATATACTAAATAAATAAATAATTATAATAATTTAAAAGTATAAAATTCTTTAAAATTATTAAATAATTTTTATAATTTATTATTTTACTATAATTATATAGCTAATTAAATAGTATATATTTACTATATATAGCTATTTAGTTATTAATATAACTTAATTATATTAATTATCTTAACTTATTATAATATATATAATAAGTAAGTAAAATAAATAAGTAAGTAAAATAATATATTATATACTTAAAAATTACTAATCTTAAAATTCTAAAAACTTATATTAAATAATTAAAACTCTAAAAAAAGAACTTTTATAAATCTAATTTTATATGAAAAGTAAAAATAATTTTTAAATAATTTTAAAAAAATTCCTTTATATAAAAAATACTAATTATATAATATAAATATTATTTTTTCTATACTCTTCTATATAAAACTTTTATAAAAATATAATTAAATTAATTTAACAGTAAAAAGAAATAGAAAATAACACCCAATTTATTAACTTACCCTAAAAGAAATATACAAAGAGTTATTATATAGGTATCTTAGCCAGTTAGCCTAAAGCTACACTAGATTATATATATAAGATCGAATTAATCTAAGGCTTATATCTCCTAATAGAAAAGTATCTTATAAGATAGAATATCGAGTCAGTCGCAGGAAGGTTCGCTAGTAAGGCATCAATAGGGCCTGCAGCAGCCCGATATCTAAGGGAGGTTGAAGATAGAAGTTGGATAGGGAATGTAATAATAGCAAGAAGGCTCAAATAAATCTCTTAAAAATAAAAGCAATTAATTAATAGACTCTCTAGCAGCCTTAAGCCCTTCCGGCCTTTCTAACTTCTAGGAAGAATCTCTAATAAAAGGAAAAGTGATAATTTTCCTCTAGTAACGGTACTTACCTTCTTTTTTAACTTTATTTAGGTTACTCTAGAGATATCCCTATTAGTAACTAGTTAGTTTAAGTATTTCTAACTGCCTGTTATATTAAATATTTTTTTCTTAATATATATAAGTTATTTTAGAAATACTAGCTATTTTAAGCTTAATTTTAATTTTTTAGGACTTTTTTTAAGTATTTTTCTTAAAAGTGAAAATTCTATTATAAAGTAAAATATTTTACTTACTTATTTATTTTACTTACTTATTATATATATTATATTATTATATTTAATTATTATTAAATATAATATTTACTTTATAAATAATACTTTAATTACTTTATTAATATAAACTTATAATTTATTTATTAATAACTAGTTTTTTACTTATTTTAAATTATATTTATAGTAAATTAAAAGATATAATTATTATATTAAGTTTTTTAATATATAATTTTATTAATAAATTTAAATTTTAACTTTACTTTTTTTATTAAGATATTATAAACTTTTTCATAATATAGTAAATATTATAATATTATTAAAAAAGTAATAAAAATAATATTAAAGCTAGTAATAAATAAAATAATTAATTTATTAAATAATTTTTAATTAGAAAAAAGCTTATTAAACTTAAATTTTTTAGCTATTAATAAATTGTTAAAAATATTTTTTTTTACTTAATATATTATACTTCTAATTTAATATTACTTTTTTTTACTTTTTACTAATTATAAATTTATATTAATATTTTATTATTAAAGATATTTTATATAAATAGATTACTTATAAATTATATTTTTATTTAAAAGTACTTAAATAATTTTTTATAGTATTAATTATTATTAAAGAGTTTTTTTTTATTAGTAGTATTAAATTTCTTTTATTTTTTTAAAATAAAATAAAATAAAATATTATTTACTTTACTTATTAAAGATATAAATCTTACTATTTATATTAAGCTTTTACTAACTTTAGTCTTTTTTATTAAATTATAAAAAAGATTAAAAATCTTTTTAAAATAAATATTTATAAGAACATTAATAGTTAAAACTAATAGATATTTATTAAGTTTTACTTCTTTTTATAATATTATAACCTTATTAATTAGTAATATTACTAAAAAGATTTTCTACAGCTCTTTATTTATATTTACAGATACTATATTTAGTTCTATACAGATAAGAGGGCCTTATAAGAGCTTAGTTTCATACGTAACTGAGTGCACGAGTTAGACTCACCATATTTCTCGTAGAGGTCACTAAGTAGGAGGTAACGAGTCCCGGTTAACAAGTGGTAGGCGTGCCATAAGTTAGAAAGCTTGGCGAGTAATGGTCCTGGAATTCGAGCGAGGGGATGGAAGAAGACATTGTAAATAACTGGCTGAGAGAGTTTGCTGTTAGCCTGACACAAAGCAAAAACGGTTGGTCAAGCCGGGAGCATACCAGGCAAAAGGCAGCGAGAATGAGGATAAGAAGCTTTTAACTTGGGGCTGGAAGATGAACCTCTAGCTTGGGTTCGAAAGACGACATGTTAGCCCAAATTAATAACAAGACAGGCTATGAGTGAGTATGGGCGGCGTGCAAATTGAGTGTTGCTTTGATACTTACTTATGTACTATCGAAAGGTTGCCATTATCGTTACCGGTGGAGCGGCCTGGGACCCACAAGTGCGGTCACCGAAACTCGGGTAAGTTGGATGTGGAGTAAGTCGGTGACCGCTGAGCCTCTGCCTTGTTTAACTGTTCCCTCGGTCCAATGATGATGATTCCTTTGGTAATCGGCACTGTCGGTACAGCCTTCCCCGCATTCGCTAGTGCGGGGGGCAGGGGCCCTTGCTTTGGTGACCCGCCCCCAGATTCTCTCCAGATTCTTTCCAGATTCTTTCCAGATCGCCTACAGAATCATCATCATCATCATCATTGTGTTTGTTCCTCGGGGGCCACTCCATCGTCCGCTTTGCTTCTCCAGCCTCGTTACTTGCACATTGTACATCTCGAGTTGATGGCAACAATCGTTCGCCACTTTTCGCCCGACACCCCGCTGAGCGTGCGAGACCTTTGAGAATACATCTCTACTCTGAAAGGTGCACCAAGCAGCTCGGGGTATCCCCAGGCTACGCAGCAAGTCTCGCCTCCACCTTGGGTCTCCGAGCTTCCCACCATCGAGACCCCACAGGCACAGGCACAGTCACAAGCCGCCAGTATGACCGATGGCCCATCGCCTTCCGTGTCTGAAGGTGGCCTTGACGGTGCATTCATATCAGACGCAACGTGTCAGCGCCGTAGGTGACCCCCACAGCAGCTGAACCCCCCCAGCAGTGAGAGAGAGTTAGGTAGCTTGGAATAACCTAAGGCATTTCAGTACTTGGAATAGGAAGGGTAATAACCTTTAGAAAGGTCAGAAATATGAATTAAGGACCAAGATCCTTCTCCCTACTGCCGGGTTGAACTGCGATCCGCTCTCTCGGACATGGGGTCTAACACGCGGAGTCCGCGAATTCCGTTTCCGCACAAATGGTCTAGAATCTTTGATGCGGACTCCGTGGTAGTCTTGCCCGCAACTTGTCTTATATAAGTGCTAGTCCATCCCATCCACAGTCTAAATCAGCTTTACGTCATTTGGTGACACCTCTCCACCGTTCAAAATTCTCCAGGACAAGCCATTTCTGTCAAAACCATGCCAAACTTTAGATCCAACGCCGCTGAGTTCCTTCACTCTGCCTGGCTTCGGCTAAGTGTAGGCCAGGTTTGCGTGCTGATCGTCTCGGTTCTACTCCTCCATTGGGCCAAAAACAAATACTTCACCCGCCTTCGGCATGTCCCTGGGCCATTTATCGCTGGCTGTACAAGGCTATGGAAGTTATACCACGTCAGTGGTGGCCAGTTCGCAAGAGTTCAGATTCAACTTCATTCGCGGTACGGGCCAATCGTGCGTGTTGCCCCGAACGAAGTCCTTATCTCCGATCCTTCTGCTGTCAAAATCATTTATGGCCATACCTCGAACTTTGGAAAGACAAAGTTCTACATCCCCTTTGGGAACAAAGATAACGATGACCTGTTTACCGACCCAAACATTGCTCGACATGCTCACAACCGCCGAGAGATCGCCGCGGCGTATAGCATGACTTCCCTCGTCGAGCTGGAAACATTTGTCGACAAGTGTACAAGCACCATGGTCGAGAGACTTCACAGCCTATTCGTTAAAGAGCATAACCCTGCCGATATTGCAAGTTGGCTCCAGTACTACGCGTTCGATGTAAGTCACGCGAAAAGAGCCCTCGCCATTGATGTCTGACTTTGTGTTAATAGGTCATTGGCCAAATCACTTTCTCGCAACCTTTTGGATTCATGAAAGAGGGGAAAGATATACAGAATTGCATCGCAAAACTTGAGCGGTATTTGATCCGTGGTGCGATATTCACGGTGATACCCGAATACTGGTCGTTATACTATGTCGCCACAAACCTCCTTTCAAAACTGGGTCTGATATACCCCCCTGGCATTGGTATCTTCAACGACTTTGTTGGCGCGCAGATCAAGGCTCGGCTGGACCGCGGAGACAACGGGCAAACTGACTTCATATCAAGACTACAGAAGATGGGACGTACTCAGCCTACGATCTGGCGTAGCTGTTTCGCCAATGTCGCCGCGGGGAGTGATACTACAGCAATTAGTCTGCGGTCAATCATGTACTTCCTACTCAAGAATCCTTTGACATACAGACGTCTTCAAGAAGAGATCGACACGTTCAGCGATGAGGAAAAAATCAGTGATCCGGTTACGTTTGGCGAGGCAAACAACATGCCCTACCTTCAGGCGGTACGTCCTCAAAATGTTCTTATTATGCATACTCTTCTATCACGTGTAGCCCTTAAATCGCATTGAACGATTTCTCAGTGTACTGACCGTATGTATATCAGGTAATGAAAGAAGCAATGAGAATACATCCCGCCGTTCAATGGAGCCTCCCTCGTTACGTCCCCAACTCCAACCTCCAAATCGGCTTGTTCACTCTCCCTGCCGGATCTGAGGTTGGTGTCAATCCATACGTAATTCATCGTAGCAAATTAATCTTCGGTTACGATGCCGACCAATTTCGGCCTGAGCGGTGGTTGGAGGATAAAGAGAAGGCGCGCGAGATGGATCGATTCATGATACAATTTGGGATGGGATCACGTCTGTGTTTGGGTAAGAACATCTCATTGATGGAGATGTCGAAACTGCTTCCACAATTGCTGAGAAATTTCGACTTTGAGCTTGTTGATTCAGGGGCCGACTGGAAGGTATCAAACTTTTGGTTTGCCAAGCAAAGTGAAATGGACTGTTATGTAACTAAGAGGAATAAATAGTACCGGTTCCACTAGTCGATAATACGAGACTTGACGTTGTGATCATGCGCGTCCCGTTTTTCCCTTCCTTCCGCAACTACAAATGCTTGAACTCTGGTGCTCACCTTTGTAAGAAAGAGGATATCCCCTCTTGACAATCGCGAAGGTTAAATGTGGAATAGTAAAGTGACTTTTCATGGACCGTGCGGGTGTCGAGGTTGCCGTTCTCAAGTACGTAGAATTGTTAGAGAGAAGCGGCAGGATAATCAATAGGCCGGGTGGTATAACATAACATACCCTTGAGGACCGCACTTTTTGCATTCTGAATGACGGGGCCAGAAAGACCAGCAATTCTCTCCGCAAGCTTTATTGCTGCAGGAATAACCCCTGGTGGTGGGAACACTTTGTTGACAACACCGAGTCGCTCAAACTCCGATCCGTTCGCGGAATCGCCGGTGAGTACAAGCTCTATTGCCGAAAGGAAGATTAGTCTCCCCGACGCGAGAGGCCGCCTAATTCCGCGAAATTGGACAAACTGGAAGAGAAGACGATTGTCGAACGCGTACTTGACATGGATTCGCGATCTTACCCTCATCGGATTGGTGACGTGGAAGCTATGGCCAATCTCCTACTCGCCGCACGAGGAAATTACCCGTCGGAGTTAAGTGGGCTTCTAAGTTCATTAAGCGACAACCAGAACTTGGGACGCCTCATTTGCGCAGATACGACTACAAGGGGGCCCTATGCGAAGATACAGACGCGATAAACGCGTGATTTCGCCTTGTGCGGAACGTGGTTGCGAGATACGGCATCGCGGATACGGATTCTAAGGTCGGATCTCTCGTCATCAGGGAAGCTCTCCGACGTCAATTCTTAAAGCTATCGACCACTTTGCAAAGGGGACACGAGGAATCATGCACAAGATCGCCCTTTTGGAGTCGGAGGTTAGGAACATTTGACAGGAGAATGACACCCTAAACCGACGCCGCAGAGCCAAAAAAAAACAAGTCTCAGACAAGGAGGAACCCTTGCTGTAGCTAAGGCTGAGAACATCCAGGCCCAGGACGAGGTTAACGTACAGGTGAAGCAGAAAACGCAGCAAAGTAGTGGTCGCGCGACGAGGTTCGAGCCGAGGAAACGATGCTGTGGTGTCTGCAGGAAGACGGGACACAACGCGAGAACTTGTCAGGTAGTGATCTCATCGTCTGAAGGAGACGATGAGTAGTGATTTTAATTGATTTAAGGCGTAGGGGCGGAATGTTCGTTTGGTTGTGGTTAGGTGGCCAGCTCGGGGGTTTGGCCAGCTTGGCAGTGGAGTACGTTAGTAGAAATTGCATGCGTAAAATTAAGCTTATTCTCCTCATCGCAATAAAGCTCAAAGGGCACCGACCGAGTAGCCAAACGAATGAGCAAGCAATCAGTGGAGGTATAATGTGCAGTTAGATGCCCCGTAAATCAATTCTCTTCAAAATACAGGTAATTTAAGACTTACAGGCTTTACTTACACAAAATTATGTAGATATTGATTAAATTCTACTCTTACAATAGAAAAATCTAGTCAACCCCTCAATTCCCTCCATCTTATACAAGACATTCTAAGGAAAGACCCCGTCGGATATCACGCATTGCACTACTGGTAAACTAGCTACATACGTCACGTAGCATTGACCTTTTATCAGCGCCATCACAAGCCACATCTCAACACCTTAGATTTGAGCCTTGGATCCGCGATTGTGTGTTTGATGAGGAATAAACTGGAAATCGGACATATCTAACTTCGTTCCTCAAGGCTCCTTTGCGCAAACCCGAACCGGTTTGCCTCTCATGTGATTGGTAGAGGGAATCAGTAACAACTGCCAAGCCGACTCAATCCAAGGCTCATCAAGGGAGCATTATTGACCACTATCAGGGTAGAAACTTTGCATCTCTCAACCTGTCAAACGCCAAGATGTATCCCTCGCCTGGTCCTTTCGTCTCTTGGAACCCAATCTCTCGGCTAGCCCCTAGGTCAAAATCAATACGAACCGTAGTAAGAAGTGACGTCTGGAGGATATCCCATTGCATGGCTTCCAACGCGTTGTCGACAAGACCATTCTCCCTTATCCAAGCTGGCCACTTAGCCTTTTCAGACATCAACCACTCTATTCCTTGAGGTTCTCCATTATTCTGCATAGAAGGACCAACACCATCCAGACCAAAGTAACGGCAGAGAACTGGCCATTTGGCCTCCCATGTGACTGATTCCCCGTCTCCCACGTTGAATGATCGCCCGTGGCTTTGTTCAGGGGACAGGGAGATATGGATATCGAATCGCGCTACGATATCTTGTGATGAATCTGTATGTATCGCTGTCCATGATTCCTGAGTCCCTGGGAAGGCGCACTTGACCCCTGCACCATTCATAGATCGATAGAAGGAAAGATATAGACCAAGTGCCTGAGCTATGTTCATAGCATTATGGCGAGGAACGAAGCCCGGCTAAATCTCAAGTTAGCCACATCAGAACTCTTTTCAAAAAAATTGTAAATTTGCTACGTACAAGAAAGGATGCTCGGCTTTCAGACCACTTCCAAGAACCATGAGCAGCATGCTCAACCATCTTGTCGAATTGCTTGTAATTGAATATCTTCGAAGCAAACGGCTCTGGCATGCGAGGAAGGTCTTCCTTCCAAGGCGCAGGCGGAAATCCATATCCAAGAATACCATAGCCCTGGCTTAAGTTAGCAAACACTCGGGGTAATAAAACAACCCAATTTACCTTTCCTCCTGTCTGCAGTAGAAAGAAATCCAATTTGGGACAAAGAGTATTTGCCGCACTGAGAGCGTTGTCGATCATGACCGTGTTAGTTAGTACTACCTTCTCAGGGCTGCCTCCGTGGCCAGCATATGCTGGTGATCAATTATTTAACTTTAAATGTTCAATTTGTTTGGAGATGGGTTACGCACCGGTGTAGTAGATGTGTGTCACGTGTTCAATACCAGGGATGGCCCGCAATGTCTCCAAAGTCTGGTCTTTGTCGGTAAGATCCAGTCCGCTGTGCAACTCAAGCCGTTCATCTTGCGGAAGACGGGCCTCTTCTACCGTTATGGGCCGCAGGCTCAAGCCCAACACACGAGAAAATGTGTTAGTCGACGGGTACGAAAGGCATTCATGTAGCAATCCCCAGCCAGACTAGTAAGTTTCGCATTAGCAGCCTTACAGCCTGATAAATGAGATGTAAACACTTACGATCCCTGAGGATCCAAGAATAAGAGCCACTCTCTCTTGATTTGGTGCCATGGCAATAGTCATACTCGTGCGTGAGTCAGAGTTGAAATGACCACTCGTCTGAAATGATAAGCTGCGATAAGAACCACAACTTGTAGAGTACACCTCCCGCTTAGAACCTTTTCTTTTAAGAGGTTTTAGTCGTTCTTACATCTCTTCAAAAAGTCCCTGCCGGGGCCCCGGGTTCTAAATTGAGCCCGAGGATAATTTGCACGTTTCCAGTCGGCTTAAAGTTATGCCGAGTTCGGAGACTTTTGTTTTATTCTCCGCCTAGTGCGGAAAACAGCTGATACTGCAGCAGGGGGTGTCAAACACAAGATACGATGCCATTGCGTCTGAGCATGGGACCGACATCGTCCTTGTACTGGAAGTTCAATCCACACCAGTGCAACGAGGAGGATGGCAATATCTTAAATTGTCACTAGAGGACCAGTGAAGGGAGAGAGGCACCGCTTGCGGCGGCAATAGCGACATGACACATCCAAGAGACGGAGAGGGGAGTGCACTTTCACCTTTCCTTTCACTTTCGGGGCCATAGTGACCCGACAGCCCAGTCCACTCCGCAAGTCAGGCGCTAAGCTAAAGGTTACCTTGGCGCTGCCACTGATTAACATCAGGTTATTATATGGTAGTTCACTACTTAAAGCACTGGTGCGTTGTGTAGGCTTTATGGCGGAGAATCCTAAAGCGGAATACCCGTCCTTTATCGTCCGCTTCTAGCAGGAATTAAGCTACTGTACCTCTAAGATGCTTCTACTGTTACTAGCCCTATTAAGAGTAGACTAAAATGTTAAGATATATTAGTTAACTATATTTTAATTTCAAAATTAAAGAACCCATTTTTCATTCTGCCATCCACTCTATTATCCGCTCCGCACTCCGCTCCGCACTCCGCTCCACACTCCACTCTGCCCACTCGGTTGTAATAACCCGCCCGGAAATTCCAGGCGGAATTCCCTACTTGGGACAATCCGTAATCTAGATAACAAATACAAGAAGTTTCCTGCTACAGTACTCCGTAGTGGCCGGAGGTTTCATAGGGCTGGGTAAGTCGGGGTAAATTTAGCAACAAAAGGGATAGTTAGGAGGGTCTTTCCGTTCACCCGAGACCCCGAAAGCGAAAGCGAAAGGTGACCAAACCTCAATATTGGGTGACTCCTTCTGATTTATTACGTCCTCTGGCATATATAATGCCCGTGTGTGGACGGTCATATACCCAGCCTTTAGTATCATCCAGACTTACAACAACTCTCTTTACAAATTTATGATGTCTCTTCGGGAAATTCTTGAAAAAACTGCCGCGGGGTGGATATCGGATCTAGAGAGCCGCTCATTGGACCAGGTTGTTTCGAGATGGACAGATGATATTCACTACACGGTTCATCCAGATACAGAGGGGGTATTTCCAATGACCAGAGAACAGTAAGTAAATACCATCTTCACACAGAGAGGACAGTCTCTATGGAGGGGGGAAATAGTTCACCACTGATACCGCTTGAATGTAGATTCCGGACCTACGACCGTGCAGCAGGCTTCTTCAAGCTTCTACAGACATTCAAAATTACCATCAATGACATATACACAGATGTGAAAAAACGGACGGTCACGATGCTTTGTAGCAGTGAGGGACGATTGGAAGCAGGTCCATATGGCACGGATTATGTTTTCGTGCTCACTATGACAGAGGACGGAAACAAAATCAAGAAATTATCCGAGTGGCCGGATTTTCACAAGGTCCAGGCAGTACTCAATAAGACGGTTTAATGAGTTGGGGATTTACTGTCTTTGGGGAAGTTGGTCTTTGGTCAGACCCTTAACCACTGATAGGAATAAGACTGCAGCGGGATGCCTTCAGCAGGAATTTCCGCCTTGGTTTAAGACTATTAGTTCAGCTCAATTAGCCAGTCTTAGGGTTCTCAATGGGGAATGTTTGGGTGTGGCAGGTCAGACTTCCCACCTTCATCATCGCGACATGAGGATCATTGTCAAGCACCATCTTCAGTCATGATCATCTGATAGTTCCATTGTCAGTCATTTTGGCCTCTTTTTGTGGCATTCTTTAGTGACCTATTTGATCGGACGATACCGTGTGTAGTAGCCGTCAGTCTTGTCTATTTTATTTTTTTTTACTATCCTCAGTCTCGATCCCCCTTGCTATTGCGGACGCATCACCACTACAGTCATCACCAATCTGCCTATTTGGGTTTCTAGTCTCCCTTGTCCCACCCCGTCACAGATTAAACCCCACAGATTGTGACGATTTATAATTTTCAAGGGTTATGTAGGCCAGAGACCGCAACCATGGAGTGTTGACATTCCGCCAACGGACGAAGGCGGTGAAACTTGATAGCAATAGCCAAAGTTAACCACGATCATATCCATCCGGCTAAATATGAGGCTTGGCGGTTAAACGGGTGGTTTCTTGTGAGAGATTCCGAGATAAAGACTCATCTGATTTGAAGAATGTCGACGTTTTAAGACGCGAGTCTCGGATACGCTTAAATCCATTGAAGCGGGGACCAGAAGCCGGAGTCAGAACTCAAACAGGCCGTGCAAAACAGACAGACAAGAAGCAAATATATTCATTCATTTAACCATAAGTGACGAGTAAAGGATATCAAATCACGTGGCTATCGTAGTTGAACAATACACCTATCAATCCGCATTACTCTTTATATAGATCTTACAAGAACCCCAGACGCCAACCACTCACAGCAACTATCGGGACCGGCCGACGTGAGGTGACGAAGCGGAGTTGGCCTGTTATCAATTCCGAATGCTTGCATTTTATTGATCCCAATCAGGGCGTTCTGTAGACGGACGGCCTCAGGCTCGTGAGCGTAGTAGAATGGGACTATACAGACAGTGGCCGTAGCCGCCAATGTGACGCAAAGCTCTTATCGCAGCATAGCTCATCCTGCGCATTTTCGTAAAGAGTGCTGGTGATGCAGATGCCACCACCTATCACGCCCTGGTAACAGGTTTCCGTCTCAGTATGAGAACGTTCGGGTGCCTTAATCACATCACAAAATCGTCCCCATACAAGCGAAGGCGCACGCAAAGGCAAGTAAATTTGGAACAATCGGCTTTGGCTGCCAGAATTGGTTGGACAGAAAAGGCCTCATGACCACCTACATTCGTGTACCTCTGACGGCTCGTGCCTACTCTCGTCTGGATGCACAGTGGCCAGCATGATAAAACGAAAAGGTTGCAGGTCATATTGAAAAGGTGTGAGTTACGTGTGTCTGTGAGGAGCACAGCTCATTACATAGTATCCACATCTCTGCCACCAGCAGATCGGACCATCTTAGTCATACGGTCTCAACACTCCCACTCGAGCTGCTGTTGGACTTGATATGCACGCCTGTCGAGTCTCGTTAAAACCCCAAAAACACCTTCATGGGTGGAAACTGCAGGGAAAGAGGCATCTCGACTCAGGCACTTGGAAATTTTAACAGCTCCATGCAATCTTGGGACAGTGGGTCTTCCTCTATCCACAGAAGATCTCCCACCTAGGTTCATCTTTGCACCTTTCTTCTCAGTAGCGCAATCTTGAACTTATAGGTATTCTTCTGTCCACAGACGATCTCCTACTGAAGCCCATCTTTTCACGCTCCTTTTAATCCAGCGCAATCTTGAGCCCATGGGTCTTCTTCTGTCTATAGAAGATCTCCCACTTAAGCCCATCTTTACACGCTCTTTCCAATCTGGTGCAATCTTGAGTCAATGGGTCTCCTGCCCATGGTAGGTCTCACACTTCAGTCCATCTTTGCAACTTCCTCACGCTCAGTGCAATCTTGAGGTTGTGGGTCTTCTATCTGCAGAGGATCTCCCACTCCAACTCATCTTTGCACCTTCCTCACGCTTCAGTGCAATCTTGGATCTGTGGGTCTCCTGTCTGTCCATAGTAAGTCTCCCACTTCTGCTCATCTTTGCACCTTCTTACAAATCCATATAATCTTGGGACCGTAGGTCTTCTTCTTCCTGCAGAAGATCTCCTACCTATGCTCATTTTGGCACAATTCTCATAATCGTTATTCTTTAAGATCTAATGCTTCCCGAAATAGTAAGAAGCAATCCTTTAGCAAGTGTCACGGCCCAGGTTGAGACCAGGCGGTCACAACCGGCAGAACCATGACATACCCACTTTTTCACCTGATACAGATCCCGAACTCACCCCGTATAAGTAAGCCCGAATATATGACTTACTTCTCCAGGATAAGCTATAAAATTGGACTTACTCTTATCTAGTAAGCCTATATAAATACTACTAGTATATAAATATTTTTTTTAGTATTTTTATAAATAAATAATCTTACTAGCTATTAATATATTTAGTTATATTAAATTTATTATTTTACTATTATTAGATTGTAATTTATATTATTTATTATAATATTCTAATTTACTTAATTATATATTCTATATTTTAAATCTATTTTATATTCTTAGAATTAAATCTAATTATTATATATTAATAGTTCTTATTTAATATATTACTATATTAACTTAAATAATATCTTAAATAAGCTAAAATAGCTTCTATAACCTTAAGTATCTTATTTAAATCTAGAAAAAACTCTATTACCCTAATAATATAGAGCTAAGACCCTATTAATAATATAAATATAGATAAATCCAACTCTAATAATAAAATTACTAAAAAGAATCTTAATAAACTCTAAAAGTAAAATAATTATCTTAAAGCTAAGCTTAATAAGCTTACTAAGATCTCTACTAAAAAGACTTAAAAAAGAATAATAAAATTAATAAGCTAATAGAATAAGTTACCTAGCTCTTAATATAAAATAACTATTTTAGTAGAGATTTTATCTATTAAGAGGTACTTTACTATAATTATATTATCTATTTAGACTTTTTATAGTAAATAGAAAAGATATAAAAGAAATCCTTAGATCTAAGTAACTTAATTTATTTAATAAAGTAGCTACTAGCCTTTAAGAATTTCTTATATAAGTTAGGGTATTTTAAAGTTACTACTCTATATAGTTTATAGGGAAGAAGTTAAGGTCTACTATATTATAAACTCCTTAAGAATAAAATACTCTAATAATTTAAATTAGTTATAAGAAACTACCTTAATAATTCTTATTATACCTAGAAGGATAAAATTAAAGCTATTTATACTAGCTATAAAATATTTAAATAAAAACTAAAAATATATTTAGCCTTATTAATAAGAAATAAGCAGCTAAAATATAACTTTAAAAGCTTATTTAAAAAGTATTAGTATTAAGCTATATAGTAGAATTTTATAATAATATTTTATATCTAAATTAAAAAGAAAAGGTATATATAGCAGCCTATTATAAAGAACTTAAGTTAGAAGTTAAGAATATAATAATTAGATATAAGCCTATAATCTTTAATATTATTATTATTCTTTTTATAGAAATTAATAACTAATAATTTAAAAAATAATAAAAAAAGAAAATTAAAAAGTTAGAAGGAATATTCTATATACTATCTTAAAAGAATAAGAAGAATAATATCAACTAAGAAAAGAAATACTAGAGTAATACATTCTATAAAATAGCATTAGAATCTATAAAATTAAAAGCTACCTAGAAGGATTACTTAAAGATTAAGTACTAGAACTATAAAAAGATAGGCTACTTTAAAAGTAAATATTATACCTCGAAATCCAACTAAAAGTACAAGCCTATACTAAAAGGTAGGAGTATACAATTTACTAACTACTAGTATAATAATAATAATAATAAACTTCAAACTGCTATTTAATTTAAAACTCTTATTATAATTTAAAGTAGCTATAATAGAGAATTTAATAGAGTCTATAAGAATAATAATTAGAAGGTTAAATACCTTAATAATATTCTATTTCTTAAGCTGTGTATTTAAAGAGTATTTAAGGAAATTAAAAATAATATTAAAAAAAAGATATAAAAATAAGCTGTATAATATAAGAAAATAAATAGCAAGACTAAAGTAAAATAACAAATTAAACTAAAAAAGAAAAAAAACTATAGCTAAAATAAAAATAAAGATATCTAGAAACCAGTTCTTACTTAGAATAATATTAATATTATAAATAACTTAACTAATAAAATATCCTATATTATAGCTATAATATAATAAGAAGACTCAATTTCTAATAGATAACCTAAATTTATTATACTACCCCTAACTAATAGGAAATAGAGAGTAATAATATTTAAAGAATATTAAGAAAAAAATAATCTCTAAAGATATTTCTATACTAGGGATAAAAATACTCTATAAATATACCCTAAGTAAGAAATATACCTAGCTAGAAAGCTAGAACTTCTAGTAGCTAACTAGGATATTATTACTCCTATTAAAGAATATCTAAAAATAAAGGATAAATAAGACTCTAGACCTAGCTATAGAGGATACTAAATATATAATAACCTTAGAAACTAAATATAGACAAAACTAATAAAAATATATAATAATCTTATAAATAAATAACAAGAACCGCTAAAAATAAGCCTATTTATATTTATATCTATAATATATAACTAGGCTAAAATCTATACTATATAATTCTAAAGAAATAAAAAAATAATAACCTAAGAATAGTAGTAATATATCCTAAATATAAAGAAATCTTATAGGTATTATATATTGTCTATATATACTAAATATATAAAAAAGATAAAATCTATTAGAATTATTACTCTATATAAATAAATAATATACCTATTTAGAATCTATACTTAAGAAAGAAACTTAAGTATTTCTATATTACCCAATAGTATATAGAAGTTAGTATTATATACCTAGAGGATAGAGGGAATTTCTTTCTATTAGAA